AATTGCGGGTTACAATTCAATAGCTCCACCTCTTCAACCAGGGGATCGAATTTGGACTGACGAACACTCCGCCGGAGAAGTACTGGTCCTGGTACAGTGAGCCAAGTAGGAAGAGTTGTCCCAGATGTCGATCTTCGGTTATAGGTAAACAGTCGTTCGTGTGGCGTGGCGTTCGCTGCAGTACAGAGCAAAGATCTGATGGAATGCAAGGCGTCGAGTAGAACAGACTCCCATTGTGCCGTTGGTAGGCCCCGTGATCTTAATGCTAGAGTGATGGCACGCCAAAGTGTTCCATTGAGGCGCTCGACCTGCCCATTGGCTTGAGGATTGTATGAGGTAGTACGACTGGTTGCTACGCCTTTCTCCAGAAGAAATGCCCGTAATTCGGTAGACATGAAAGCAGCGCCTCTGTCGGTATGTATGTAAGAAGGCATACCGAAAATCGAAAACAGTTGGCAAAGGCAATTCATTACCGTTTGAGACGACATGTCGGGGCAGGCGAATGCAAAGGGGAATCGAGAATATTCATCGATCAGCGTGAGCAGATAGTGATTGCGGCTAGCTGACGGTAGAGGTCCTTTAAAGTCGATGCTTAACCTTTCAAAAGGTTGGGTTGCTTTTATGAGTTTGAAATTAGAGGGATTGTAAAATTGAGGCTTTAACTCACAGCATGTCACGCATTTACTGGTTACATTGCGCACCTCGTCAAGGGAGAATGGAAGGTTTCTCGAGCGTACAAAATGCATCATTCGGACAACTCCAGGATGGCACATAGAGTCATGGAGAAATTTCAAGTCGCACACTGACTGCAAGGAACCGCAGAAACTACGGGAAAATGTATCAGCAGCTTGATTATCCCTTCCAGGACGATAAATGATGTCATATTGATAAGGGGATAGCTCAATTCTCCAACGCATTATTTTATCGTTCTTGATTTTGCCTTTATGAATCTTGTCAAACATGAATGCTACTGAACGTTGATCAGTGACAAGTTTGAAGTGATTTCCGAGAAGGTAATGCTTCCACTTACGAATTGCTTCAACCACGGCATAGGCTTCTTTCTCAACCGATGAATGATGTTTCTCACTTCGAGAGAGGCTTCGAGAAAAGAAGGCGACAGGTTTACCATTCTGGTTTAATGTAGCTGCAATTGAGACATCTGAAGCATCTGTTTCAACAACAAGGGGTGCTTTCGGATCAACTACCACAACGACTGCACGTTCTAAGTCGTCTTTCAGTTTGTCAAAAGCATTTCGAGTTTCGATATCAAGAGGGAAAATCCGATTATTTACCAATGGGTGGATTTTATCTGAGAAGCGAGGGATCCACTGTGAATAATAAGCAAATAATCCAACGGCCCGTTGTTGAGATTTGATATCTGTGGGTGGTTCTAGATCACGAAGAGGTTTTAGCCGATCGGGATCTGGTTTAATAACCCCCTTTGAAACTTCATAACCGAGTAATTGTATGCTTCTGCTTGAGATCACACTTTTGGAATCATTAAGGGTTATTCCATAATTGCGTGCTGCTACCATAAACTTGTTTAGATTTTTGTCGTGTTCCTCCTGAGTTTTGCCGCAGATAGTGACATTGTCAATGTAGGCAAACGTGCTTGTGAGTTGTTCTTTACTGATCAATTCATCGATAATGCGTTGAAAACAAGCTACGCCATTGGTAACACCAAAAGGAATTCGGCAAAATTGGTAAAGTTTCCCACAAGCCTCGAAAGCAGTATATGGTTTATCTTCGTTCCTTAGGGCAATTTGATGATAAGCATTCTTCAGATCAAGAGTGCTGAATATGTCATATTGTGCGATTTTTTCTATCATTTCGTCAATCCTAGGTAATGGGTAAGCATCCAGAAAAGTGAATCGATTGATTGTCTGACTATAATCAACTACCATCCTCTTTTTATGGCGTTCGTTTGACGTAACAAGAACTTGAGCTCGCCAAGGAGAATTAGAAGGTTCAATAACACCTTCTTGCAGTAACCGGTTGACTTCGGTGGAAATAAAACTTTCATCTTCACGAGAATAACGCCGGGATTTTATCGCGATCGGTTTACAGTCTTTTGAAAGATTTTCAAACAGAGTAGGCAGGTCGACGCGAACACAAGGTAGACCACAGAGAGAAAAAGGCGGCTTTGATCCCCCAAAAGGAATCTCAATGTGTTTGTGAAGTTTTAAAAAATCATGTCCAAGAAGGACGTCTGCACATAAATTATGAAGAATGGAAAATTTGAATAGATCATAAGTGTGGTTTTTATAGCAGATGGATAGAAGACAATGTCCTTCAGTATGACTAGTAAGATTCGTACTCGCCATTGTGATTCTGTTTCGAGACTTATGGACTTTCCAGTTATACTTACGAACAACTGAGGAAGAGATGTAGCTCTCACTGCTTCCGGTATCCACTAGAGCTTGCATTGATTTCCCATTGACAGTAAGCTGCGTAACAGCATCAGTGAGACTTTGAGGTGCTGAAGCCACAACGAGAGATGAAATTATAGAGTTAACTGAAGATGGACCTTTTTTCGTAGATGGCGCAGACCTGCAAACCTTCTGAAAATGTCCTTGCTTGCCACAAGCTTTGCAAACTGCATCACGGGCGGGGCATTTGGAACGAGGATGTCTACGATTACCACAGAAAAAGCATTTGGATTCAACGGCAGCAATGGTTGTTTCATTGACGGAGGGTGTGGAATCTGATGAATGAGGTACATCATGTAAAGAAATGGACGCGCAAGGTGTAACAGGATTGTTGTATGACTGCGATTGTTGATGTGCCATCTCTAGAGCTCGTGCTTGATCGTATGCCGCTTGAAAAGTTAAAGTACGCTGTTCTAATAGCCTCTGGCGTATCATCGAAGACTGTATACCTGAGATGAATGAATCACGTAGAGATTCGTTACGATGTTCTTCGGCTGTAACTGCCCTGAATGAACAATCTGTAGTCAGCGACTTGAGTCGACGAACAAACTGATCCAGATTTTCGCCAGATTCTTGTTTACACGTTGCTAACAAGTGTCGAGCAAACACTTCGTTGCAAGGCTGCATGTAGAGACTCTTGAGAGTGTCGATAGCTTCTTCGTATGTTTTGCATTCAGAAATGCATTCGTATACAGAAGTAGAAATATGATTGAAGAGAATATGTAGTTTCGAAGGATTTTCGGATCCCATTGATTCAATGAAGTAGGAAAAAGTCGCAAACCAGTGATCCCACTTCTTGGCAGCTCCAACTGCGTTAGGTTCTACGTCGAACCGATCAGGTCGGAAAAATCGTTCCATGAATATTGTAAAATGAATAAATTGTTACGAAGGTGATTGAGTCTTAGAACGATGAGTGATGCTTGAATCTTGAAAAGACGAATGAACCAAGAATTTAGGCTTTATTCATTTTACAATGAAGCCGGAATGGCTTAAACATATAAAGGAAAAAAAGAGTGTTAATAGCGGTAGAGATATGAATATGACTAGATACGTATTATAAGAAAAGTTCACAATAGCCCCCCTATCAGCCGCAGATGCTGAAGGTACGTACAAGATCGTCGCTTCTTCTGGAGCACTTTTCCGGATTCTGAGTATGCTTCAGTGTACCTAATCCATCCAAGCTTCAACTAAACACTGTTGCTTCTGGTGAATATCGCATGTTTTTATTTCTTGAAGTGCTTAATATAAGTTTCTAGCACAAGTTAGTTGAAATAAGATCATAAAGGTTTTTAACTTCTGAGACTGGCGTAACTGCAGTTGCCTTATTAGCTGTACTACTGTTTCAATTTAGGAGTTTGAATACTCTTGCTATAAACACTTGAATGGAAGCCTCATAATTTTCTATATCCAATGAGATCTCAACTAACTTTAACTGAAATACCATTATATAATCATCACCATTTACACACACTTGGCAATGAGCCATATTTGTTATTTGAAGTCTCATGGAACATCCTGGTTACCCCAACCTCACTAGGTGGAGTTGGTTTCGAACCTTGTTTCCTAGCAGTTCAAATTCAGGCACGTAAATAAATGCGCTAAAGTACCTTATGTACAAATTGAACGTATTTTCTTCCAGACGAAATTTTCGAACGTTTTGTTTGGTCAACCGAATGAGACCCTGACTCATACTGAATGCATGCTGAAAGTCTACGTAGTTGCTCAGAAAATATTGGTAGTCTTCTGTGGATTCTTTTCCTCTGTGTCTGACAGCGATACAGTTTATTTCTGCCACTAATGAGCAGATTATTTAGTGAAATGAATTAAGCCCATCTACTGGCAGGAATAAACTGGGCATTTTCTACATAAAGCCACCAGTTAACTCAATATGTACCAGTAGCTATAGTAGTATTAAAACTCCTGTTTCCATGTCAGCATCTGGGTATCGTCTCACCTCTCGCACAAATAATCAATAAGAAACTATAAGCTCTTACTTAAAACTGTAAGGTATAGTAATAATAATAATTTAGCTTCCTGGATGAGTAATACAAACTTGTAGTAATTAACTGTGATGATATAAAGCATACTTACTGTTAATACTTGTTTCGTTACATTGTCGGGCATTCTTATTTCCTTTTTTCCATTTCAAAGTGTGACACTTCCAGTTATGCTGTCTTCTAACCACTCAGAATAATGACGCGGTATTATGAGCTTCTTGAAGATAATATTGGTCTTTCATTAGCGGGGTGACTGTGAATCCTTGTCATGTGATCACCATTCCCAGTTAATATCAACTTATTGTGCATCGGTGGTTCATCCGTAGTGCGTTGGCCGACTATGCATGTGGTCCGGGAGTTGGAGTCCCGGCCAAGGCACACCTTTGCCTCCCTTAGCCGGTGACAGTCCTAATAAAGAGGGAAGGTTAGGCGATGAGGCTAACTTCAAAGCTAAAGCTGGAAGCTTCCATTGGAAACGCAACAGAATAATAATAATCAACTCATTGTGCATTAATTAAACACTCAAATCATTTTTTGAAATAACTCCTCTAATTGTATGTTGACTTTATTTCAGTTCATGGAAACTTCAAAGAACCTAAGAACACCAGATGTTCAAAGAGCATCAAAGATATTACGTCAGGTTGAATTCTATCTAAGTGAAGGCAACCTAAATCGGGATAGCTTCTTTAGGCAAGAAATGGATAAACGAGAAGACAGTGGTATACCAATCGCCTTACTTTTAAAATGTAATCGTATGATTGCAATGAATGTTACTGAGGATATGCTTAGAAAAGTTGTGAAATCCTCTAAAATCTTAAAAGTTTCCAATGATGGTAAGTTTATGTACCAAGCATAAATTGTTTGAGATTTGTGTAATTCCACAATCTCATTTTAGTTATTCTTTATTTTTTACCATTCAACTGAGTAAAATTATTGTTTCTTTTTTGAACCAACAAAAATTGGGATTTATCAAAACGTTACATTATTTAAAACACACCGACCTTATTTTGAAATAAAACCAAATTGAAATGTTTCATTTGTTTTACACTTTAATCAAAACTTAGGTACAGCCATTGTCCGAGTGTTACCGTTAACCGAATTGGGACCTCGTGAAAAGAGAACGATCTTGGTTACTGAACTGCCACGTTCACCTGTTGGAATAAGTATGCACGGTGATGAGGATAACAGTTCACAGAAAAATATGGAATCAGACGATGTAAACAATGCAAGCAATTTAAGCTGGGAGTTTAGTGACTGGATTCGGAATACTTTTGAAGAATTCGGTGAAGTTCTTTATGTCAATCTACCTCGGTATGTTTTCCTTAGATGATAAGCTTCGGTTTCCTCCCCTCACCCGCCATCCTTGTAAAGCAAATGTCATCTTCCTATAAATTCCTTTATCGTTAAAGATATTAACTAAGTAAATTTACAGTATTTCGCTCTTTGTCAACATCTAGATTAATTGCAAGTCATAACTCTACTCGAAGTATCTGCATCACACTTTGTGGTTGTGTTTTCAGTGGAACTCAAACCTAGGGACCATTGTTTCAAATACCAAAGCGTTTTGTGACCAATAACTTCAAGAGGCAAAGAAATTTTAGTTGCTTTTGCATTTCTGACCTTAATCGTTTGTTAAGAAAAGCAATGGCTCGGCATTTGTACGTATTAAATGTCCCAAATCCTTTAAACAATAGGGACTCACCACCTCATATAATGACTTTCTGTATTTAAAACATTCCGCCTAAAATTATTACTCACCACGTGGTTGTACCTAGCATGAGCGCGACTAAACTAAGGTTTCTTTAATCAAAAGCCTGTAATTTTTTATCATATACTTTAAGCTGTTATGTCAGCTAAGTAGAATGAAGCATTCTTTGATGAGTAAGCACAGTTCTTTACATAAAAGAACTATATCACGTGTGTACGGTGAATCGATTCAACCTTTTTCTGGTCACAAGTCAACGCCAAGCGGAATCATACCCATCCGTACGTCTATAGTGCAAATAAATAAGAATGGTGATATTGGCCATCTCTGATGAGCACTGATGATTATTGTCACTTCAGACGGTATCCTTCTGCAAGACTATGCATAAGTGGTGTCTGTCTGTCTTTTTTCGACATAGAACTTTGCACATATGTCTGTCTCTGTCTGTCTGTTTTCGACATAGAACTTTGCACAAATGTGCGGAAGTTCAAGTCGCCACACTCCGTGTAGCATGCGAAGCAAGAGAAGAAAGTACAAGAAAAGCATAATAGAAACAGTGAGCAGAGATGTGAGACAAAGGAGTAATAAAGAAAAACAAGTTTCATTGGAAATCATAAGTCACAAGGAGTGGATGTATCTCCGGCAGCCACTGAGAACGATTTTGAGCCATATCACCAGTTGTCTCCAACCTTCATTGGTTTTCACCGTCCCGAGGACCCCAACCAGGAGGCCAGTCTACACCGTCCTAAGTGGCTAGCCTAAACTAACTGTTGTGGATTTCATTGACTGATGAAGCCATGTTTTTGTTTGACCTCCGCTAGCTTTTTTCCAGCCTGACTCTATATCCACTAACATTGCTCGTCGAGGAAGGTGATGACTAGGCATACGTAACACATGTCCTAACCATCTCAGTCTTTGTAACTTCACAACTTCGTCGATTGGTTTCCCCTACTTACCTAGCACTCGACCGATGTCTAACCTCAATATTGCTCACCTTATTATGCCACTTCACACGGGAGATAGAACGCAGACACCTATCACCAAAGACAGCTATCCTTTTCATGTCCTCTACTCTCAATGGCTAGGTCTCACGGCTAGCCATAAAGGAGAAGGGGGTGGACTGCTGAACAGTACACACGCCCTTTGGTCGACAGCAGGATATCACGTCTATTACTAAGCCAGAGATAGCGTAACTTGGCATTAACCAGACGAGTCTTCTGTATCCGTGCTGAGATTTCGTCAGCGATCAACCCGCTGGGGCTGGCTGATGCAATGCCCCCCAAATAAGTGAAGTGGTCAACACACTCTACCACCCCCCCCGTTACATTTAAGCTAAGAGTAGCCGATGTAGTCCAGTCCTGTAACATCATCTTGCATTTGGCGGGAGCGAATCACATGCCAAACATTCGTAGATTGCGGCTAAATGTGTTTAGAAGACTCTGCATTTCGTCAGCGTCTTCGCCTAGAAGGACTATATCGTCTGCATATTCCAAGTCAACGAGATTATTCCCCGGTAGCAAGTCAATCCCTGAGTCACTGAAGTCACCTAGGGTTAAGTCCATTAACACATCTATGATGAAGTTGAATAGAAAAGAAGATAATGGGCATCCTTGACGGACACCACTGGTCGTCATCAGTTCAGATGACAGCTCGCCGTAAGCCCTCACCTGGCTGTATGAGTACGAGTAGAGTGCCTTAATCAGTGGAATATATTTTCTTGGAATTCCCTTTACAGCCAAGCATCTCCAGAGAACTTCCCGATCGACAGAGTCAAATGCTGCCTTTAGGTCAAGAAATATAATGACTGTTGGACGCCGGTAGGAATGACTATGTTCTAGAATCTGTCGGAGGGTGAAGATATGATCAATACACCCTCTTCCTGGTCTAAAGCCTGCCTGGCTCTCTCGTGTTTGTGCTTCCCGAGCACCACCTGGTCTACGCATGATTATTGAGCCTAGGATTTTAGATACTATATTAGTCAAGCTAATCCCTCTGTGATTATCACAGGAAGACTTGTCTCCCTTCTTGTATATGGGGATAATCAGTGACTTACACCAACCCGATGGGACTTCTTCTGATTCCCAGACGCTGCCTAGTACCTCAGTTAATGCAGACAGTAAGCTGTGTCCACCGTACTTAAATACCTCTGTAGTCATTCCATCAGGTCTCTCTACTTTGCCTTGTTTCAGATTGGTGACAGCTTTAGTAACCTTAGTTAGGGACGGAGGACCTGTGTTTATATCCCATTCAGGGAGGTGTTGGATGTTCGGCAGGTTGAGCGTGGCTGTGGGTCAATTAAACTGCTCCTCATAGTGCTCTCTCCAGCGTTCCAGTCGTCTATCGTGGGAGCTAATTATGGTGTCATTTTTCCCCGAGATTGTGTTGTCCGACAGGGATGCCCACTGTCCGCATTTCTATTCAATTTGATCATAGATGTACTAATGGAATTGATTTGTTACCACCAGGAAATAATCTCATTGACTTTGAGTATGTATGTGGATGATATAGTCCTCCCACCCAGGTGAAGACACTGACAAGATGTAGAGTCTTCTGAACATCTAAATCAGCAATCTTCGAATGCTTGGCATGTGATTCGCTCCCGCCAAATGCAAGATGATGTTACAGGACTGGACTACATCGGCTACTCTTAGCCTAAATGTAACGGGGGGGGGTAGAGTGTGTTGACCACTTCACTTATTTGGGGGGCATTGCATCAGCCAGCCCCAGCGGGTTGATCGCTGACGAAATCTCAGCACGGATACAGAAGACTCGTCTGGTTAATGCCAAGTTACGCTATCTCTGGCTTAGTAATAGACGTGATATCCTGCTGTCGACCAAAGGGCGTGTGTACTGTTCAGCAGTCCACCCCCTTCTCCTTTATGGCTAGCCGTGAGACCTAGCCATTGAGAGTAGAGGACATGAAAAGGATAGCTGTCTTTGGTGATAGGTGTCTGCGTTCTATCTCCCGTGTGAAGTGGCATAATAAGGTGAGCAATATTGAGGTTAGACATCGGTCGAGTGCTAGGTAAGTAGGGGAAACCAATCGACGAAGTTGTGAAGTTACAAAGACTGAGATGGTTAGGACATGTGTTACGTATGCCTAGTCATCACCTTCCTCGACGAGCAATGTTAGTGGATATAGAGTCAGGCTGGAAAAAAGCTAGCGGAGGTCAAACAAAAACATGGCTTCATCAGTCAATGAAATCCACAACAGTTAGTTTAGGCTAGCCACTTAGGACGGTGTAGACTGGCCTCCTGGTTGGGGTCCTCGGGACGGTGAAAACCAATGAAGGTTGGAGACAACTGGTGATATGGCTCAAAATCGTTCTCAGTGGCTGCCGGAGATACATCCACTCCTTGTGACTTATAATACCCGATGAAACTATATCGTTCTTCGATATTACCATTCTTTTTTCCTTATCTTTTTACTGCCTCTATTTTGAATTTCATTTTTACTTTCATCTCTTGCTCTGTGTGCTACATGAAGGGAGTGTGGCGACTCGAACTGCTGCACATCTGTGCAAAGTTCACTGCTGAAACCAGTCAGGTAATCAATCTACGCATAACTGCATAAATTCAGGTAGAGTGTTTTGATTAGCATAATATACTTTCTCAACATTCTATTTTCAACTGAACACCACTCAGTCGATGGAAATAAATGTTGTCTTTAGGCTGCAAATCACACTGTGCTTTTTGCGTATGCAAACGTTTTCATCAACGTGTTCTGATACAATGTTATACATCATCGTAATTCAACTAGTTTTCATGTTCTACATTAAAACATTCAGTTTGGTCTATGTTGTATGTTTAGATTATGAAAATGTGTACGAAAAAGCTCAGTTTTTACGTATTTATTCCTTTACGTTCCCAGTTGAACACAGGAGGCTCCAAGTTAGAGGCTTGAAGTTTCGGTAGCAGTGGTGCTTGTTATTTCTACGGGATGGCGTTGCTAGCTTCATGCGCAACCAACCTTTTCTCTTTATCAGTCTTATTATTGGGTTAGCAGGGTTAAGGAATGCGTCCGTGGCTGGGGATGAAAACCACGGACCATATGCATGGTCGGCGAGCATTCTACCGTTGTGCCATCGACGAAAAACCTCAGTAGAGGAAGAATTATGTTATTTTCGGTGAATGTGTCTTTATATATATAATTGTTTTGTCGAACACTGTGTCGTTTATGGTTCATAGTCTAATACATAAACTTTTATCACCAACTCGGCGAGTTACATTATTACTAACTTATCTATAGTTATGCATCATGTGGAATCGTTAATATCCTGCACAAAATTGAATTCCTTATAGTCATGTATCAATCTGCATACATTTTAAATTCCAGCTATCATAAATCTGATTCATTTCGTGGATTTGCATTTGTTGAGTTTAAAACATCTAAATCTGCCAGGAAAGCTGTGAAACACATAAATTCTACAATTGAAAATGAACAATGGCTTGTAAAGCCAACAGGTAATTTTTTTTTACATTTCAGGTCACCCTACTAGTTTCCTTTCATTTCACTTAGCTATCTAGTTAATATGCCGATTTGATACTTTTATACTCATATTATTTAATATGGTACATGTTCATCATTCAGTTGGGATCATTACAATAAAGGTTTATTTTTTTGTATTTCCCAATGAATGAAAAAGAGCAAAACGATATCACTCTTTTTACTGACGTTTCGCTATTTAATGCTAATAGCTTTATCAAAGTAGTATTATTAAACCAGAATTTACAAAATCCATTCCGCCTGTATAGAATAATTTAATCATCGTTCCTTGGCATAGGGTCATTTTTGCGTTGTCAAGTTGGCCAACTGGTAAAGATAACAAAACGAGGTGTAGATTGTTGGATTTTATAAGTGTGTAAAATTATAAAAGTAGCGTGTGTTTACATAATGAAATTGCTTATCACATTCGTGTTGATTTTGTCATTTCAAGGAGGAGGGCGGGTTTGTTGTAACCAGGTCAAATTCTGTTTTAGTCCATCATTCCTATTCAGCTCAGACAATTTGGATTCCATTTGATATGAAATGCTTCTGATGATGTTAGACGTTCTTTATGATTTCTGAAATTTTTCTGGATTATTTCAATACTGTTAGAATCAATTTTGTGGCCTAATTCTATAGCGTGTGAACCTATAGCTGATGATTTTTCAGGTTTTTCCAGTTCAGCCGGATTTCTCGGTGGTCGAACAGATGCTCAACTCTGCGGTGTTCATTTTTTGTGATTTTGATTTCTCCCGATGTATATCACATTAAATTCCAAGCATTTTATTTTATAGACACAACTAGACAGAGAGTCTTTAAGGATTTGGTCTTTTGTATGGACAAGGTTGTCTGATGTTTTGAAAAAAAAACTCTGATTTTGAGCTTATTGAGTATTCTTCTGATATCGTCTGATGTCTCCGCTCTATATGGAATGACGACTGTTGATGTCCGTGTTTTCAGAATGCGTTTTCGACCATATTTAATGTCAATGTTGATTTTGTTGATGAAGTTCCTTGGGTAGTTGTTTTGCCTGAGAGTCTCAATAAGGTTTGATATTTCTTCTTCTTTTTCTTTCTCATCCGTTAACATCAAAGAGTGTACTCATCTAAGAAGACTTGAAACAACTGATACCTTTGGGTTTATTGGGGCGCGAAATCTAAATATTTATTGGAGTGGGTTTCCTTCCTGAATATAGATATACTAAAATGTCCGTTTTCCCTCCTCTTAACTAGACAGACAGTCTAGAAATGGTAGTTCACCGACGTCTGATTCTGCCTGTTTCCGAAGTAAACTGGATTCTAGAAGATAGGTTGTATAATGATCATCTATCTTTCATATACCCAATGCCCAGATTTTTCAAACTGTTAAAAGTGAACTTGGTTTGGACATATATATTATATCATTTAGAATATCTTTGATATTTTCAATTTGATAACGCTTTAAGAATCATTCTTCACTCTTTAAAGGCACCCTAAATTAGTGAGCGATGCAGTTTAACATCATCAATACTGTATTTTTCCAAGAAAAGCTTTACCAACTTAAATGTGTGTCGGTCATATATGAAATCTTGTTTTTGACTGTTTGCCATCCCGGTGAAAGAGGTGTGTCTATTTCCATTCTCATAGACACTGTAGGATTCATTAAGCCGTAAAATTTGATGCTTAAATATTTGTGAAACCAAATTCTCAATTTACAAAAATTGATTAGCCATTTTTTAATCTACACAATTCGAGTGATAAAACTTCATCTTACATATCATATAATATGTGATCTACTTGGTACCATAAATGGGTGGTAATCAAGAAAGCAAGCATATTTGGATAAAACTATATATATTACTAATTGATCGATATGAGTAGTTGCAGAATACCACTCATATCAACCAGCAGTATCGTATGACCGGTTCGACTAAGTAGTAGCTGACCAGCAAGTAGTCAAGTCGTTTGAACTGATTCGACTCTCTGAACTGAACTGAGTTAAACTGAGTATACACCGCTAGTGAGATCTTCTCTAGACAGGCGGAGCAGCCGTCCAGTGTTTAGACTACCTCGAACTGACCAGCTAGCAAACACCACCGTTTGGTATGAGGGGTAATGCGACTACTCATATCAATTAATCAGTAGTATACGGCCTAATGCGAAAATTATTTGTTTTGATGAAGTAATTTATTTAGTCGAACTTCTGTCCTAATTTCTGTGAAGGGATCTATGTACGATTTTAAGAGAACCGTAATGTGTGGCATATGTTTATTATAAGTGACAAATTGGAGATCGTTTCTGACCGGTCAATATAGAATATTTTCTTTTCAAAGGTTAATTTGTAGGAATATGATCCGTCTCTAGTTTGACCACAAATTAATATCACTTACAGAACCATTGAAAACCAGCTGCGAGTGCTGGACAGTCGTCCCGTCCTAGTTCGGGAATCATTGGCAGTACGCATCCATCTTCGGAGTTTAAACCTAGGCTGTTCCGGTCCGGAGACAAGTTCGTAGACCATTCAGTTACTTGGGCCGAAACTCAATAACCCGTAAACTCTAACTTCTACCAACTAGTAATCTCATTGTGACCACTTCCAGTTAATCTCATCGGCGGTGAGTACTTGTCCTTATTCCCAATCGGGTGGTCCCCATTTATCTTTACTGTTTGTAGTGTATGTTTCTTATATCAATTAAAAAATGTGATCTCGATGTTTTTTTTTCCATCATTCATTTGATACGTTCATTAGAAGCGCCGGAATCATCTGAATGTCCTGCATCAGCATGGAAACCACGACTTGCAGCTAAAGCTTCCTTTTCATTTGAACAAATGCTTGCTAGACGATATGTTTGGCGTTGTTGTTCCCGAAAGAATAAACAGCTGATAGCAGCTTTCAAACATTTACGGCAAGCTGGATACACAGCTGTTAATCCATGCGATAAAGAATGTAAGTGTCAATTTTGTGATATTTGGTAATTTTTTTTATAAGAGCAGTTGATTGATTAACATTGTTGCGGACACCTTAGTTTCATTTCTAAAATAGGGTCTAAAGTTTTAGGCTCAGTAATCATGTGTAGATTAAGTGATGCTCAAGAGAAACAAACATGAGGAGACCAGATGATAGATGGTGTATTGATCATATCTTCACCCTTCAAGAGATTCTGGAACATAGGCATACTTACCGGCGTCCAACAATCGTGATATTTCTTGACCTAAAGGCGGAATTCGACTCCGTTGACTGAAACGTACTATTACAATGTTTTGTTGTGAAGGGAGTGACAAGAAAGCTGATTGTAGTGGTTAAGACACTGTACTGGAACTCACGCAGCTGTCTAAGAGGTTGTGGCGACTTGCCATCAGAAGTCATGTCGACAAGTATTGTCATTCATGAATGCCCACTGTCCCCATTTTCGTTTAATTTCATCATAGATGTACTAATGGACTTAACCCTAACTCACTTCAGCGACTCAAGGATTGATTTGTTACCACCAGGAAATGATCTCATTGACTTTGAGTGTGTGGATGATATAGTCCTCCGACCTGGGTGAAGACACTGACAAGATGTAGAGTCTTCTGAACATCTAAATCAGCAATCTTCAAATGCTTGGCATGTGATTTACTCCCGTCAAATGTAAAATGATGCTACAGGATTGAACTACATCGGCTACTCTTAGCTTGAAGATAGAGAGTGAACTAGTTGATGGGGCGTTTTGAACACTTCAATATTTGAGGGAGTTGCATCACCCAACGGATTGATCGCTGAATAAATCTCAGCACGGATACAGAAGGTTTGTTTCGCATATCTCAACTTACTCCATCTCCGGCTTAGTAGTAGACGTGATATCCGGCTGGCTATCAACTAAGTGACCTGGGTACTGCTCAATAGTTCGCTCTGTCCTCCTTTATGGCTGTGAGCGAGACATTGCCATTGAAAGTAGACGAAGTGAAAAGGCTAGCTGTCTTTGGTGATAGGTGGCTGCGTTCTATCTCCCGTGTGAAATGGTATAATAGGGTGATCAATATTGAGGTTAGATTAAGTAAAGAGGGGGAATCAATTGACAAAGTTGTGAAGTTACACCGATTGAGAAGTGTAGGACACGTTTTACGCGTGTTTAGTCCTCGATGGGAAATATTAGCTGATATAGGGTCAGATTGGGAAGGAGCTAGTAGTTGTCAAATCAAGACCTCGCATCAGTCCTCGAAATCGTTGACACATAGTTTTAGCCAGCCACTTAGAGGGAGGTGTAGGTTGTGTGGCTGATTGGGGTTAATGGAATGCTAAAAACCAATGGCTGAAAATCGTTGTCAATGGCTGGCGCAGATGTATTTACTCTTTGTTATTTCCCATATTCATTAGAATCCTACTGTTTTTCACTTACGTTTCTGCTTATCGTAGTTCTCTTGAATTATTTCTCCTCTCTCTTTTGTCTACCTTCAACTGTTGTACTTCTTCTGTGCAAAGTTCTGTGTTGAAACCCAGAGAGTGTCAGTCAGTGGTTCCGTTGATTTATGTAACCCCTCCCATGCCGAAATGGTGGAGTAATTTTGCTGTTAGCGGCCTATGAGACATCAATAGGATTTAAAGCGTTGAGCTTAAACTTATAGATACCTCACTTTAATTGGTGAGTTATAATTTACGCGCTTACTAGCGATGTCGAAAATTTCCCTTGATTAAGCTATCGTATCAGTTTTCCAAGCTGGGATATTGTTAATCAGCGTAGTGACCAATACTTATTACTTGTAAGGAATAAGTACTGGATCACGCATGTCATCCGGGGTTCGACCCCCGACAGATGTACTCCTTTACCTTTCTAAGCCAGTAATAAGACTGGTAAGGGCGGAGGGTTGGCCATATGAGGCTAGCAACCCCATCCTGTAAAAATAAACACCAGTGCTAGGGAAACTTCAAGCCTCTAGATTGAAACCCTATGTGCCACTGGGAACGTGAAGGAATAAGAAAAAAATTACTTTTAAGATTTGTCCGAATCCGACTGCTATTCATAATAATAATAATAATTTTGCTTTGTTCCAGAAGCAGTACTACTACTGGTACAGTTTGGAACTTTCAGCATTTATCTACAATATTGCATCTAATTTTATCAAACATTTAAAAGGAGTATTTCAAAAAATTAAAAACAACAAAAAAACACAAAATAGCAAAAAAAAATGCGAAAAACTACCAAGAAGTAGAGAGGAAAATAAACAACATAATAAATAATATCTCAGTATTGGGTAGTGGAAGCTATGATTTGTTTATGCGTGGTGACAGTAAAGCTATAGTCATACTAGAAGTTATGAAATGATATTAAGAATGTTTATCGCCAAGATGATCAGTTAATTTGATTGAACAACACTAAACAATCATAAAATAAACATTTCAGGTTGCGTTTTTGCTTATTGTCAGCTCTAATGCGGTGTTTGTGGTTGTAGTGTGAGTAATCCTGCATAATACAACATTTTTAAGATGGTAATAATGGTATTCACAACCAGGATTGTCAGTTAATATTGCTGAACAAAAAAAGACAACCACAAAACTAATATTACATGAAGGTTAATGACAGGACAATTTTATAACACTAATAGTGCAGTATAATCGAAACCAGTAGAATGACTAGAGTAAAGTACCAAAAAACGTAAGCCAATTTAGGTAGCTAAGTATGTTTAAGAAGGTGTTCACTATAGAATACAAATAAGAGAGAAATAAAAGAGCCTAAAATTATGTTATTTAACAACAAAGCAAGTCATAGGGTTCGCGCTTAACATTGTCTCTGTCACTTAGAAAACGGGCTGGTCAAATATGGTATCTTTGAGTTCCTATGCTTGGTTGTACGGGCATATATTATTTTATACTAATTTCTGGTTCTACCTGATGAGATACAAGGAGAGAGAGACTTGGGAATAGCGAGGGTGCTGGGGGTCGGAGAGTATGGTTTTAGACCATTTTACGCATGTATTCAGATGCCTTTCTACTAATGTAGTGACGAGCTGACTGAGTTTACAGTCAGTTATATTCGGCTCTCTTAACTGAAGTATTTCAAATACTGTTGTATGCTATATATGTCTCCTTTCCCATTGTGCTTTCATCACTCTATGCTTGTTCCACCTAGATTATTCCATTATACTCGGAGATAGTTCTACAGAATCTATATTAAATTATGTCAGAGATGCTAGTCATTGTGAACCGTGTCGAACGAAACTACGCGTTTTTCGTTATTCTGATTGGATATTTTGGAAAGAGAAATTCTACTTATGGCAACAAGCTTGGATTGCACGAATGCGTCGTAAGACAAGTGAATTATTCCTGGAAAGTGATAATATGAATCATGATCATGATGCAAGTATGGAAGAGAACGGAGTATCTTGTGATGCAGCAGTAGTAGATGCTGAAATATCCGAATCTTCACTTCAGACCCAGCAGACCCAAACATCACCTAAGCCTAAATCACTTCCAAAAGATTATGTCCTCAAGTCGGTTGTACAGGTGAGTTACGGATATATATATATTTAACAAAAGTTTTTAGTTTTTCGACTGATTTTGCACACAGTTTTTAGAGAAGGCAAAAAGGCATGAATAATTTAAATATAGGACAGATTCTGTACAGGTCAAGGTCACAAGTAATGGGTAGGAAGACGCAAAAGGTGTGGGTAAGAAAGATAAAGAGAGGAAAAACAAGGCAAAGAAGGGGTTTGAAAATATTATGAAGTAAATTGGTCCTTGGTTCTAAATTGGATTACCAAGGCAGGTTTAAGGTGATAACAAATAACTTTTGGACACAAGACAGGTTTAAATCTTTTTATGGTTAAGGCTTCAACGAATTTAAGTATGTGGCCCAACCTTGTTTTATATATCGGCTTAAAGGCATTGTTAAAATCAACCTTATGACCCGTCTCTATAATATGCTTCACTATAGATGATGTTGGACATCTATTTCCGGGCGATTTTATTTGTTGTAGCAGCCACTTTGGAATCTGTTCTGTAGCCCTAACCTACAGAGACCGATGGGTCCTCCCTATGTAAATGTCTCCACACATACATGTAAATTGATTAACACTGTGGGATGTGACACTATCATTTGGATAATGTGTGGGTTTACAGGACAGCATAGTTCTCGTTTTCTCTAGGAAGATAAGTTTAGCTGCGTAATAAGATCTATTAATTACGGCCTCGAGTTTGTTTAGTGGCCAGACTTTGTTGATCACCTCTGAACGGTAAGGATATGTGAAATTTATCCTTTTCGGGAGCTGATTGGATTGGTAAAGCTCTATGGTTGACACTTTCGTAACGCCTAATAAATCTCAATGCATAATTGTTGTCTAACAATATTTCAGTGAGGTGTTGTCTTTCTTCTTCAATTGTATCAGCAGTACAAATACTGTGAATACGCTTGAAAAAGCACTTAACCAATGTCTTTTTATACTGTAGTGGACAGAAACAATGATAATTTAGATACTGTCCCGTTCATGTGGACTTTCTGTAGACAGATCGTTTCACTGACCCATCTTCTCGGTGGCGGGTTATGAATACATCTAAAAATGGCAGGCAACCATTATTCTCTTTAACGTATGTTAGCGATATACTATTTTTTGCTCTGTTGATCTAGTTCAGGATTTCTTTTCTTTTCGACGATTCATTCACATAAACTGTACACATTCATAACTATATTTCACAAAGAAATCATAAAACCAGTCAGCTACTGGTAAATTTGTCCTAGAAAATGTATTACATAAGGAGGTAAGGTGTAATTCAGAAGGGGGCGTGACTAATTGGAATTTAGACAAGTGGGGCAGAAGTTGGTATGACGTAATAAGCGTGAAAAATGACTAATGGAAAGATGATAAAGTGTGTTTTTATAAAATCTGTATGAAAACGTCATGTTAATAATATACAATAATAGTGATAGTAAAATAAGGGTGATGAGAATAATAATAATAATAGACTTATATGATGGAATTGAAACAAAATCATATTAAGAACCGTTACTCTGGCCACATTAGGGCGAGTAAGTGTATGTAGTGCTTTTGAACCCAGAGGTCTGGTTTCAGACGTCGAATAGCTAATAATTCAGCTATGTATAGATGGCGTATTCAAAGTCCTTCCCTACGATACTGAGGAACTCTGTGCAACACTGTGAATCGGTCATGCGAGGGTACTCGATGTCCACAGCTGACAAAGTGTTCGAGGATAGAACTGTTTGTATTCTTTTTTTCTCCTCTGGTTAGAGAGGTTGGATCGTGTTCCAGAATACGTTTACCGACTTGATGTTGCGTATGGTCAATATACTTTGCTTCACATGAACAAGTAAACTGATAAATGCGCATTAAGGTAGCCTTAACGTTTGATTTCTAGAGAATGTGATACTTAAGGCGGTTGCTTGAAATGTCTTCTTTAGACATTTAGAAAGGCGGTTTCTAAGAATTGCTGCTTCAACGTCACCTATGAATTCTAGGTTCATTGAAGAGAGTTTTCTTAGGAACAGCTGTGATTTTCAGCGTTGGAGGTTTTTTCTTTAATTTCTTTTGTCGATGAATCTGGGTTGATACACGTTCTCCAGTTTCAGTAGGGTTTCACCAGATGATTTCAATTCACTCTCTATCGTATCTTCTGAACATAATTTTTTGTTTATTCATGACATTACAATCCCATAGAGATTTTATAAGAACACACTTTATCGTCTTTCCACTAGTTTTATCCATTCTATACAATTAAACTGATTAGTCATTTTTTCACACTTATAACGTTACGCCAACTTTTACCAGTTTTTCTTTCTAACTTCCAATTAGTCATCCCCTTCTAGACTATATTTAGGTTAGACGTCGAGTGTTAGGTAAGGAGCGGAAGTCAATCGACTAGATTGTGAAGTTATACCGATTAAGATGGTTAGGACATGTGTTACGCATACCTACCTGGCCATCACCTTCCTCGACGGGAAATGTCAGCTGATATGGGATGGGTTTTTATTTTTTTTATATTTTTTTTATATTTTTTTTGAATACAGCTTGATTCCACACTGTATTTTTGATACAAGTATGGAATTTTCAGCGTGGATATCGGTAGCCCAAAATTCGCAGGCCGACCATAGATATCAGGTGTGCGTCGGCGTGGGCTCGAACCCCGGACCATGTGCATGGTCAGCGAGAGTCCTAACCACTGCACTGTACTGACCACGGCAGCAGGTTGAAGGAGAAGCAGTAACTCATAGAAGAAAACATTGCGAAGTGGTCCCGCTATGTCATGAATTCGCAGAAGTTGGAATTCACGGGTCGGCTATTGGATTGGGTCCCAGAGGCTTATGGTCTACGAGCTCGCCTTGTAACCAGAAGGTCCTAGGTTTGAAATCTGGCGGTGGGGGCGTACTGATGAAGAGTCCCAAACTAGGACGGAGGGAACAGCTGTCCAGTACTCCCAGGTTTTCCAATGGTTCTCTATCTGATGTCAGCTGATAATGAAATCCTCCAAACAAGAAATTAGAATGTTGATTGGACATTAGTAACTAGTGTAATGTGTCTAGTCGTTTGTTTACTGTAGACTGAATTTTATCAGTCAAGTTTGCAATGCGACCACTATGTTAGAACCTGTACGAAAACGAATGTGCCACCATTCATTTCGTGACACTTTCCAATTCATCGATTACATTAAAGATATCAATACAAAGAACAAAACTATGCTCTCCCTCGACATTGAATCACTATTTACCAACGTTCCACTCACAGAAACTGTCTCTTATATTTGTCACTATATCGACGAAAATCAGCTGAACATCGGATTACCGACGACCTGTTTAAAAGAACTACTACTGAGATGTACACTCAATGTGCAATTCACATTCAACGACATTATTTACAGACAACAAGATGGTATCGCAATGGGATCTCCACTGGGCCCATTACTAACAGACTGCTTCATGGCAAGCCTCGAGAACGGCCCACTCAAATCAACCATCGACAATTTCCAGTTGTACGTTAGATATGTTGACGACATCTTTATCATCTGTGATGACGGTCACGATCTCAATCAACTACTGCAAATATTCAACAAATGCCATCCAGCCACAAAGTTCACTTTGGAAACTGAAAATGAATCTAAAATCCCTTTTCTTGATGTTGAGCTTACAAGGAGAGATGACGGAACTTTAAGAAGGTCAATCCATAGGAAACCGACTTGGAACGGACAATTAACAAGTTTCTACAGCTGGGTACCAATCAGTCGGAAAAGAAACCTAATTAAATCCCTTGCCACTCGCGTCAGACGCATCTGCAGCTCCGACACCATGGAAGAAGAACTAAACTTCCTGAGGGAAATCTTCATACAAAATGGCTACCCACCAAGATTCGTAGAGAAAAACCAAAAGCAAGAGACACCATCCGTGCCAAAAAAGATACTTTATATGAACCTAGACTTCAAAGGAGACCTATTTAGTGACGTCCTCAGAAGGAGAATTTCCACCTCTTTAGGAAGAACTTTCCCTGCGGCAACACTAAGAATAGTGTTCTCCAGTCGCCCGCTGATCTGCAGAAACCCAAAGGACAAGATTCCGCACATGACCACTTCTATGTGTATATATCAGTTCACCTGTTGCTGTGGAGCCAGGTACATCGGTCGTTCAACGCGCATCCTGTCAAAAAGGGTCAAAGAACACTATCCAGCGTGGCTACAGAAAGGAAATAATGGCCATATAAGGAGTGCAATAATCGAACATCTCGTCAACACTGGTCATTCCATCTCAACGAACGCCTCCTTCAAAGTAATCTACAAAGTGAAGAACAACCTTCCAAAGACAGTACGATTCCGTCTTCTTTGCATCGCAGAAGCCCTAGCCATCCAGTTGGTGGAACCAGAACTATGCATACAAAAGAAAATTATCCAACCACTTCTACTCGCATGGTAACAGCTCCGTTGATTTGACCTAACTTTTCTTTGTTTGTTTGATTTGACCTTACTTCTGTTTGTATGCTTATTTTTCTAACTTAAAACCCTTGTGTAATTCTGTATATTATTTTGTTTCCATGTACACCCTTTGAGCACAACTCATTCATCAAACTATTCATGCCATTACGTAACTCTTATTTAACAATCATTTATGACAACTCATCACTTTTGTTACTATCCTCTTATATGAACATCCAATTCATCTGAACTTACTAATTGTATTTTCGTTTGACAAATTTAATGTATACACACACACACACACACAAAATAACCATATATATTTGCGATTGTACAGCTATGAAAATGAATTCGCCGAAAAGAAACTCTTCGCTGAACTACTTGTCTTCTGTCTACTAATGTTCGAATGGGAATTATTCATGAACTATGTTAGGTGGCTCACCATCAAAGTCCACCGTGAAGTGTTGATGCTTGATGGTTGGAGGCAGTGGGCCACAGGAAGCCCTACCTGACCTAGGTTTTGTGCTTGTTGGAACTCATCAGCCAGCAAGGTGTATCTGCAACATTGAAGGAACTCATTCACCTTCTGAGATTCGAAGCTGTGAGTGCTGTCGTCAAAGAAGTTACCACCACTGAGCTATTCGTGCTGGCGATTGACCTCCTGTAGAAATTTTAATTCATGGGCCGTCCGTCGGGTTGGGTCTCATTGGCTGAATAGTCTACGAGCTCGACTTGTAACTAGAAGGAGCTGAATTCGAATCTTGGTGGGTGCGTGCTTTCGATGGGTCCCAAATTAGGCGGATGAAACACACACACACACAAAGCCAGAGAAGAAAGTAGAAACAAATGCAAAATAGAGACATTAAACAGGGATATGAGGCAAAAAGAGCAGTAATATAGAAGAACAATAGAATTTTATTGGAAATTATAAATCACAAGGAGTGGATGCATCTGCGCCAGCCAGCCATTGAGAATAATTTTGAGCCATATCAATGATTGTCTCCACTCCAGCTATTGCTTTTTATTATCTCGAGAACAGCAACCATTCAGGAAGTCAACACCTCCCTATGTGGTTAAAACTAAATGATGTGGATTTCACTGACTGACGCCATTCTATGGTTTGACCATCATTAGCACCATTAATCTTACGTCAGCTAACATTGCCAGTCAGTTGAGGAAGGTGATGGCTAGGTGACACAGTGGTTAAGACTCTCGCCGACCATGCACATGGTCCGAGGTTCGATCCCCTGCCTACACACACCTGATATCTATGGTCGGCCTGCAAAATTTGGGCTACCGATATACATGCTGAAAATTCCATACTTGTACCAAAAATTCAGTGTGAAATCAAGCTGTAATCAAAAAATAAAAAAAAAATACGTAGCACATGTCCTAACCATCTTAAAAGATGTAACTTCACAACCTCGTCGATTGATTTCCCCTCCTCTTATCTGGCACGCGATGCCTATCCTGAATATTGCTCACTCTATTATACCACTTGACAAAGAGGATAGAACCCAGGCACCTATGATCAAAGACAGCTAGCCAGCCTTTTCATGCATTGAATAAGGTTCTTTTTGTCATCTACTTGTTTGTTGAAATATATGTATATATTCTTATTCCTTTTTTTTCTTTACAGATTTACTGGCCATCAAATTTAGTTTCAACTGGGGGGCATAAAACACAGCAGACTATCAATGATAACTTTCTTTGTGATGATTCATTATTAGCCCCGAAACGTTTATCTTTCGCTCGATGTTTACGTGTTAGCCTCGAAAAGAATCTTCTTGTCCCAAATGATCTTTTACGCTTTGTTGCTCATGTTGATCCAAATCCTGATCAAAGTTTACTAGATAGTGTCAACCAGTTTGGTTCTTGTATCTGTATCAATCCTAATGTAAATGCCTCATCATCATCATCTCCACCGTCAGATGATGAATTATATCCTCTGTTTATTCGTATGAAAAGTGCTGAAGCTGCAGAGAAATTACTTCAATGTCTTCGCTCTTCTTCTTCTTCACAACTTCACGGAGTGATGACGCGTATTCTAGAAGGTCGCAGTGAACAAGCTTATTGTGAAAGTATTGTCAAATCGAAAGTTACCGCCGCTGAACGACATCGAATTTCACAGGCGAAAAAACGTCAAAAACAAAAGTCACAAAATAAGTCGCTGCCTCCGGCGCCGGCGCCGCCACCGCCGCCTACAGTGTCTTCTACATTTTGCACACCTCTGATTAAAAATGATTCGAAGCATATTAGATTTGATGAATAAAAAAAACTATGTGGTAAAAGCTGCTTTTCTTTTGTAAATATTTTTGCATTTTTTTTGTCTTCAAGAAACTGCCTTACAGAATTGTATCTATTTTCTATTAATAAGTGAAACTAAGAATTATATATTGATTTATTGAAAAACCAAATAAATGACAATGTTTAATTCGATTATAGATTTCCCCGTCGATTGATTGGACCGAAGTGCTTGGTCTCAGGTTGACATGTCGATTTCTTCTTGTGCAGATGCTTCGACAATGTCTGGGCGTCTAATTAGTATATAATTGGTGTCTGTCTGTCTGTTTTCGACATAGAACTTTGCACAAATGTGCGGAAGTTCAAGTCGCCACATTCCGTGTAGCACGCGAAGCAAGAGAAGAAAGTACAAGAAAAGCATAATAGAAACAGTGAGCAGAGGTGTGAGACAAAGGAGTAATAAAGAAATACAAAACAGTTTCATTGAAGATCATAAGTCACAGGGAGTGGATGCATCTGCGCCACTGAGAACGATTTTGAGCCATGTCACCAATTGTTTCCAACCATAGATTTTTACCGTCCCGAGGACCCCAGCCTGGAAGTCTACACCTTCCTACGTGGCTTAGACCAACTGTTGTGGATTTCATTGACTGATGCCAAGTTTTTGTTTGACCGCCGCTAGCTTTTTTCCAGCCTGACCCTATATCCGCTAACATGCTCGTCGAGGGAGGCGATGACTTGGCATACGTAACACATGTCCTAACCATCTCAGTCATGTAGCTTCACGACTTCGTCGATTGATTTCCCCTGTTTACCTAGAACTCTACGCCTAACCTCCATGTTGCTCACCTTATTATGCCACTTTACACGGGAAATAGAACGCAGGCACCTATGATCAAAGACAGCTAGTCTTTTCATGTCTTCCACTCTCAGTGGCCAGGTCTCACAACCATAAAGGAGGACGGAGCGGACTGATGAGCAGTACACCCGCCCTTTGGTCGATAGTCGAACATCTCGTCTACGCCAGAGTCGGCGTAAACTAACAAATGCGAAACGAGCCCCTTGTATTCGTGCTGAGATTTCGTCAGAGATCAGCCCGTTGGGGCTGATGGTACTTCCCAAATAAGTGAAGCGGTCAACGTGCTCTACCACTTCACTTCCTATTTTTAAACTAGGCGTCGATGTAGTCCAGTCCTGTAACATCATCTTGCATTTGGCGGGAGCGAATCGCATGCCAAACATTCGTAGATTGCTGTTCAAGGTGTTTAGAAGACTCTGCATTTCGTCAGCGTCTTCGCCTAGAAGGACTATATCGTCTGCATATTCCAAGTCAACGAGATTATTCCCGGTAGCAAGTCAATCCCTGATCGCTGAAGTCACCTAGGGTTAAGTCCATTAACACATCTATGATGAAGTTGAATAGAAAAGGAGATAATGGGCATCCTTGACGGACACCACTGGTCGTCATCAGTTCAGATGACAGCTCGCCGTAAGCCCTCACCTGGCTGTATGAGTACGATAGAGTGCCTTAATCAGTGCAATATATTTTCTGGAATTCCCTTTACAGCCAAGCATCTCCAGAGAACTTCCCGATCGACAGAGTCGAATGCTGCCTTTAGGTCAAGAAATATAATGACTGTTGGACGCCGGTAGGAATGCCTATGTTCTAGAATCTGTCGGAGGGTGAAGATATGATCAATACACCCTCTTCCTGGTCTAAAGCCTGCCTGGCTCTCTCGTGTTTGTGCTTCCCGAGCACCACTCAGTCTACGCATGATTATTGAGCCTAAGACTTTAGATACTATATTAGTCAAGCTAATCCCTCTGTGATTATCACAGGAAGACTTGTCTCCCTTCTTGTATATGGGGATAATCAGTGACTTACACCAACCCGATGGGACTTCTTCTGATTCCCAACGCTGCCTAGTACCTCAGTTAATCCGGACAGTAAGCTGTCTCCACCGTACTTAAATACCTCTGTCATTCCATCAGGTCCCGCTGCTTTGCCTAGTTTCAGATTGGTGACAGCTTTAGTAACCTCAGTTAGTGACGGAGGACCTGTTCTATATCCCATTCAGGGAGGTGTTGGATGCTCGGAAGGTTGAGCGTGGCTGTGGGCAAATTAAACTGCTCCTCATAATGCTCTTTCCAACGATCCAGTCTCTATCCTGAGCTAATTATAGTGCCATTTTTTTCCGAGATTGTCTCACTATGATTTGTCTTCTCCACCCGTTTCCCTGATGAGTCCAAAGAGTTGCTGGTGTTGCCTATCCTCAAGCTTTCTCCATCTCTTTGGCTTTTGTCGCCCACCACTGTTCACGGTCCTTGCGGAGATTGGTGGATGGTGACTAGCAGTGGAATCCACTGGGATGCGTATTTCGTATTATCTGGGACTCGTCAACTGGATGTACCTGCATTTCTCAGTGAGTGATGATGTCCTCAGGCGACATATCAACCTGAGACCGATCACATTGGTTCAACCAACCGACAGTAAAAACTAAAATTGAATTAAATAGTTAATATTACCCCTTTGCACAAGAGGCAGTGGCTCTCGTGACCCAAGTAGTCTAGTGGATGACGCTTTGGCGTTTGAAACTATGGGCACTTGGTTCGATCTTCGGTGGGAACATCACTCACTGAGAAATGCAGGCACGTCCAGTGATGAGTCCCAAGTAGGACGAAATGCGCTTTATCCTGGAGTCCACTGCTAGTCACCATCCACCAATTAATCTGCGACTTTTTAAAATGTCCTAGCTAACATTGATGATGTAGCCTGATCGATTGACTGACTGTCTGACTAACTGAGTTTGAACGTGGAACTTTGCGTAGGAGTGCACCTGTTCGAGTTACCACACTCCTTTTTTGTAGCCCACAAAGTAAAAGAGAGAGAAATAATAAACTGAGATATGAAACAAAAAGAAAAGTAATATGGAAGAACAATAGAGCCTTTTTTGATATTAAAAAATCGCAAGAAGCGAATGGTTCTGCGCCAGACAGTCATTGAGAACCATTTCGAGCCATATCATCAGGTGTGTGCAGCTGTCATTGGTTCTTGGAGTCCTTAGGACCCCAATCAGCCACACAGTATACACTTCCCTATGTGGCTGGCCTCCAACTAACTGTAAATGCTTTCATGGTCTGGTTCCATGTTTTGGTTTCACCAACATCAGCTCTTTCTCAGCCTGATCTCTTCTGTGTCAGTCAGCTGACATTAACAGTCGGACAATGCGTAACACATGTCCTAACCACGTCAATCGATGTAGCTTCACAGCCTCGTCGACTGATTTCCGCCCCACCCCACCCTTACCTAGCAGTCGACCGATGCCTAACCTCGATATCACTCACCCCCACTTCACATGGGAGATAGAATGCAGACACCTATGATCAAAAACAGCTAGCTTCTTCGTATCTTCACTTTCAACGACCATGTGTCACATCTAGCCATAAAGGAGGACAGAGCGAACAATTGAGCAGTATACAGGTCCTTTGGTTGATGACCAGCCGGATATCACGTCTACTGCTAATCCGGCGATGCAGTAAGTTGACATATGCCAAACAAGCCTTCTGGCTGGAGCCCATCAAACGCGCAGGCCCCCTGTGTGAAAAAGCGGGCCATCCAATATAATTACGTTCCTCCCGTAGGAGATAGCCGAAGTAAAGTAAGTAAGTAAACAAGCCTTCTGTATCCGTGGTGAGATTTCATCAGCGATCAACCCGTCTGGACTGGTTGATGCAACGTCCTCCAAATAAGTGAAGTGGTTAACACGCTCCATCAACCACTTCACTCCCTATCTTTTAGTACAGACTTAATTCTCTCAGTCAAGTTTTTAATGGAGCCACCCACCATGTTAGGTGGCTCGTCATCATATCACAGTCCACAGTGAAGTGTTGATGTTATATGGCTAGAGAGGTAATCGACAGCAAAACCCTACCTGACCTAGGTTTCGTGCTTTTCGGTACTCATCAATCAGCGCGGCATGTCTGCAATCTTAGAGGAATTCATTTCCCTTCTGAGATTCGAAACCCGTGTCACCTAATACTGCAGTCAGAGACGTTATCATCACTGAGGTAGCGATTGATCGCCTCTAGGATTGTACTAGATACTCAGTTATCTAGATTTATTAGCGTCAAAGTTTGTTTTGTTAATTAACTTTTTAAAAAATTAATCTCAAATGAAGTGTATTTTTTTAAAAAGAAGTATTATTACATTGTATACGTTTGAATGATTATTTTAGAAAAGAGAAATAGAAATAAACTGTGAAAAGAAGAATAGTATTGAGTACATTTCAAATATGCAGAAACGTATTGGTAAAGATATGTATATAAGAAAATACTGCACTACAGAAATATGTTATGTATTATTCATCAAAGATAAGAAATAATATTAGTGATAAATTAACATATTACATTAATCAGTTGATTAAGATCAGACATGTTTATGTGAATATGAATCGGAACACAGCCGTGGTGCAGATGAATGCTGATGATGGTGATGGGGAGGAGAAGGATGTAGACATCGTGAGAAATTAACTCCTGCAGTTTTTGTCATTACCTGAAATGTTAATAAAGAATTATTATAAGTAATTATCAAGCATGATAAGCACAGGTATGATAGTACTTTTTTCTTTATTATAGGTTGACTCCACACAGTATTTTTGATAAAAGTATGGAATTTTCAGCATGTGATATCGGTAGCCCGAATTTTGCAGGCCGGCCATTGATATCGGGTGTACGTCGGCCGGGGATCGAACCATGAGCATGGTCGGCGAGTGTCCTAACCGCTGTGCCACCGACGCACTTTGATTGGAAAGTAGTAGTTAGTAGCTAGTGTTATGCGTCTAGTCCTTTTTTTGGTGCAGACTAAATTCTGTCAGTCAAGTTGGCAGTGTTGCCACCATACTAAATGTCTCGACTTGCGGTACATTCTGAATTGTTGTTATTAGATAGTTGAGGGGGGGGGTGTGTGGAATTGGCAAGAAGTCTTTATTCTAGGTTTCGTGCTTCTTGGCACTCATCAGCGACGCGTATCTGCAATCTTCAAGGAGCTCTCATATCTTTCTCCTGAGATCCAAGTCCATGTCATCTAGTAGTGCTGTCAAAGAATTTACCACTGAGCTAATCGGACTAGATGCATGATACTAGTTACTGGCGACTACTCTCCAATCAGGGTCCATTTAGGAGGTCAATCGTGAGCCTGAATGACAACTTTGACTGTAGTACTGGGTGACATAAACTCAAATCTCAGGAGGAATATCAGTTTCTTCAAGATTGTAGATTTACCTTGCTGATTGATAACTGTCAATAAACACGAAATCTAGGTTAGGTGGGTCTTTCTGTCGATTACCTCCAACCATCTAATAACAACAGGTATAGTGGAAATAGTTGCACTAACTTATGTAAACAACTGTCTGCTAGGCTACTATCTCAGCTATGGGACGGAATATGAAAGTATTCCCAGACTTGTGTAGTCCGTAAAAAAAATCAAGTATTTTCGGCCTAGTTTATTCTTCACATAACTGGAAAGTTACACAAATACAGGTGTTTTTTGTAGGTGTTGAAGCCATAACCTAACATAACAGACACAAGGTTGTTTGGCCTTTACTTTTTATTCAGTTTACTCCCCGAGTGGAACATGCGGCTTCAAGCTAGCGTTTTGTAGTTTCGGTAGCAGTGGTTTGATGCTTTTCGCTGGGTGGGGTTGCTAGCCACACATCTAACCTTCCCCTTTTACTGGCTTAGCCAGGTTTTGGCGTCCGCCGACCGGGGATCGAGTCCCGGGCCAAGTAAAGTGTGGCTGGTGAGTGTCCTACCACTGTGTTGACAGATGTGACGATTGATTCGTGACTGTATCAGCCTTAAGTACAGGATTGACAATGAGCTCCGTGAATGATTCTTGTTTTCCACTGTCATTTAACATGGGATGTTACGAGTCAACCGGTGGGACACAAGCCTTAGCAATCAATTTACTAGTACCAACCTACTTATATTTCATTCTAATATTGGTGTTGCATCATTCCTACTTCATGAGCTTGTTGTAGATTTTATGAACAAGGACTCTGTGATCAACCTTCCCTTCCTTCCACTTAACTACATTACTTTTTAGATATGTAGCTCTATCCTACCTTACTGTTTGTGTTAGTGTGTATGTATGTATTAGAATTACTGAATGTCGTTTAAGGAGTTGGTCACTTATTTTATACGTAGCTGAATACTTATTTCCCGATCATCTGACTTACTCTGGTCTACTTCCGTGTGATCTGTGTAGCCTCTAGCCTCTATAATTTTGTAGGTTTTAATACCACCGTAGATTCTACTTGATTAAGACCACTACGCAGGGTTTCAGATATCCTTTCCTTATGTAGCAAAACTATGGATGTTTTGAATTTCTTCCTGTTTACCTTATGCTCTTGTTTTATTACCAATAGCAGAGAGTTAATACATCCCCTAAAACATTAACATTATCTGAAACTCGCTAATGTAAGTTACATCTCAACTAAGTGGAGAAATGCTTGGGCAGTTGCCATGATAACTAATCATCTTGATTCTAGTTTACATTACAGTCACAATAACATGAATGTCCAACAGTCTTCAATTTTCAATGGCTCCCGCCAAATGCAAGATGATGTTACAGGACTGGACTACATCGACGCCTAGTTTAAAAATAGGAAGTGAAGTGGTAGAGCACGTTGACCGCTTCACTTATTTGGAAAGTACCATCAGCCCCAACGGGTTGATCTCAGAGGAAATCTCAGCACGAATACAGGGGGCTCGTTTCGCATTTGCCAGTTTACGCCGACTCTGGCGTAGACGAGATGTTCGACAATCGACCAAAGGGCGGGTGTACTGCTCATCAGTCCGCTCCGTCCTCCTTTATAGTTGTGAGACCTGGCCACTGAGAGTGGAAGACATGAAAAGACTAGCTGTCTTTGATCATAGGTGCCTGCGCTCTATTTCCCATGTAAAGTGGCATAATAAGGTGAGCAACATGGAGGTTAGGGGTCGAGTTCTAGATAAACAGGGGAAATCAATCGACGAAGTCGTGAAGCTACAAAGACTGAGATGGTTAGGACATGTGTTACGTATGCCTAGTCATCACCTCCCTCGACGAGCAATGTTAGCGGATATAGGGTCAGGCTGGAAAAAAGCTAGCGGAGGTCAAACAAAAACTTGGCACCAGTCAATGAAATCCACAACAGTTGGTCTAAGCCACGTAGGAAGGTGTAGACTTCCAGACTGGGGTCCTCGAGACGGTAAAAATCTATGGTTGGAAACAATTGGTGATATGGCTCAAAATCGTTCTCAGTGGCGCAGATGCATCCACTTCTTGTGACTTATGATTTCTAATGAAACTGTTTTGTTCTTCGTTACTACTCCTTTGTCTCACACCTCTGCTCACTGTTTCTATTATGCTTTTCTTGTACTTTCTTCTCCTGCTTCGCGTGCTACACGGAATGTGGCGACTTGAACTTCCGCACATTTGTGCAAAGTTCTATGTCGAAAACAGACAGACAGACAATTTTCAATGGCTCCGGAGCTGAAACCGGAGTTGATACAACATACTACTTATCTAATGGGGAATTCTACATTTATATTAATAGCGCAACATCGGCAAATCAAATACCTAATGAATTAGCAGTTCACTAAAGAAACTTTCATTCTGATCTAGCACACAGGACTGTTCACTATGATACCCGGCTAAACATGACACCCTGATTAGTCAAGAAATATGTAGGGTAAGTTAAAAATATAATAATGATATTAGTGATAGTGAAAATAATAATAATGGTAATATTAAAGACGACATGCATGTCAATCATGCGCAAGACAACACCAACAATAAGGAATCTAAATCATCAGTAGTAGTTCCATGCAAGGAAGAAACCTCGGAAACCTTACGCAGAATTCTTAACAAGGCAGGAATAAAAGTGGCTGGCATTCAAACCAACCACAAACTCAATTAGAAACAAGCTTTGTCGGTTAAAGCATCAATCCTGTTGAGCCTTTAAAACAAAATAATTTAGTTTATCTAATACCCTACCTGTAATGATTATCAGGTCAAATGCATAGGTCAAACTAGTAGAACGGGGTCAGTTAGACTAGTCGAACATTAAAACCTAGCAAAATCTAGATTGGTTGACCCAAATAAGATAAGAAACCACTCACCACATGCAATTACACACAACCATACAATAGGATGGGATAAGATGACAGTTTTAAAATCTAATGTCACTGGGTGGATAGAGAGATTGATGACCAAAACTTTGTTTATCTAATCAACTGCAAATACATGTAATAGGAATTATTCAAAACCTGTCCCAGAAATCTGGGGAATTCTGCTACCCTTACGACAAATAGAAGAGGACAAAGAGAACTATTAAACTCAAGTTTCAAAGTCCTGTGATTACAATCGATACGATTATGAACAATAAATTTTATTCGAAACGTCATCCAGTAAATACTAATACTGTTTCATCACAGTGTGATACATCTAATAAACAAACTAATATGGAATGACACCCAGAAGTTATATTGAAAGCTCTCCCCACAAAAAAGTGCAGACATTAAAAGCATTCAAGGCACCAGAATATTTCAAACACTAATACACAACTCAGTGATACGTTGTGATGGTTTGTCTTTGACTGTAAACCACACTCAGTGTGCTACGCCATATGACAGATAATACTATGATTGAACACTAGTAACTAGTGCGATGTGTCTAGTCCTTTCTTCGGTGCAGACTGAATTCTATCAGCCAGATTTGCAATCTGCCTGCCATGCCACTAGGTGGATCCCCATCACGGTGCACATTGATTTGATGACATTAGATGGTTGGTGGCAATCAACAAGAAGCCTTGGATCTAGGTTTCGTGCTATTTGGCACTTGTTAGCAAGGCGTATCTGCAAAATTGAATCAACTCATGCAGATACGCCTTGCTGACGAGTGCCGACTAGCACGAAACCTAGGTCGAAGGCTTCTAGTTGATTGCCTCCAACCATCTAATATTTTCAAGACAGATAATACATGTATGCATCGGTGGCATAGTGGCTAGTACTCTCGCCGACCATGCACATGGTCCGAAGTTCGAGCCCACGCCGACGCACACCTGATATCTATGGTCGGCCTGCAAAATTTGGGCTACCGATATCCATGCTGAAAATTCCATACTTGTACCAAAAAATACGATGTGGAATCAAGCTGTAATCAAAAATAAAAAAAATTTAAAAACTCAATGTCTACGTCCAAAGTTTTGTACCGCCTGCTTTGAATAGTCTGAAATCAATCAAGAGTACTTTGTGATACTATATGTTCAAGGATGGTAGTTGAAAGTGTTTAAATATTTCCATCAATGCAGAGAACCAGGTAGTCTGACGTTTATTACTTTTTCAGTAATCAATACATCATTGATCTGCTCGAATGATGAGTAGTACATACATAAATCAAATTCACAATTCGCAAACTGGTTAGCAATTTGCAATCTACACAGTTCGAGTGGTGAAATATCACCGCAGTTTCCCTTGGAAACCAAGTGATTCCAAACACAATATATTATCTGCTTAATACCACAAAAATAGTGGTAATGAAGAAGGCAAAAATATTTGCATAAAACTATATACTACTGATTGGCTGGTATAAGTAGCTGCAGCATACCACTCTTATCAAACAGTAGTACTTATCAGCTAACCAGGTCGAGGTGATCTGAACACTAGACGACCGTTTCGCCTGCTTTGAGCTGAGCTTATCAGCGGTTTAACCAGCCAGTTTGATTCAGCTCAGATGGATGAATCAGTTGTAACCACTTGATTTCTGACTGGCTACTTGGTCTAATTGGTCATTAATTTTTAATAATTAATTTTTTCCTTTACGTTCCCAGTGGAACATAGGGCTTTAAGCTAGTGGCTTGAAGTTTTTGTAGCAGTGTTTAATTTTACAGGATGAGGTCGCTAGCCTCATGCCCAACCTTTCCTCCTCACCAGCATTATTTCTGGCTTAGTGAGGTAAAGGAGTGCGTCGGCCAGGGATCGAACCCCGGACCATGTGAATGGTCGGAGAGCGTCCTAACCACTCTGCCACCGACGCAAAAAATGGTGTCAGGAGTGGGATTCGAACCCAAGCCCACAGAGTGGTCATACCATAAATCGAATCTGGTTAGCCGGCGAGCACTAAAGAACATATCGTTCAGTAACAAGGCTTAAAAAGTAATACAGGTGAAATATTTACTTGACTAACTGGTTGGTGTCGATGAACCAGGATATTAGCTGCAATTGTTGATCCATTTGGTAAAGTTCCTGTTGGTATACCATGTTGTACAGTATGTGCTTTGATGTTATATGCAGATGATTTATTCTGTTTTTCTGTAGAATAAGCACGATTTGATGAATTCCGTGAACTTAACATCTTTTTAGCACTTTCCACTGAAATCTGATTTTTCACATCGAACAAACCATGATCAGTTTTTTCATGTTTATAATGTGAAGAATTTATATCACTTTTGTAGCATGAATCATAAGGAGTGTTTGTCAGTAGATCGGTATTGGATGGTCGCTGATAGTCCTATAAATTGTATAAATTGAAATATTCTTGGTTATTACACTAATCAACATACACGCAGTTAACTTTACACGAGTTTACTCACATGGATAAATCATTTAGGGTAAAGAGCTAATGAGGGAAACCCTAAATGACTGTGAATCGATCCTCTGATGTAATCAAAATAAACATTTTCTACTTTGACCATGGATTGTTATCAGTTAGACAACCATTGGAGGCCAGAGAGCAGACGCATGACACTAATCACTTAGTGTTCAACCAAAGTATTCAATATAGCCCGAATTGTCCAGTGATGACATCTCTGACTGCAGTATTGGCTGACACTGATTCCAGTCTCCAAGGTGTCATAATTCCCTTCAAGGTTGCAGATACGCATTGCTGACTGATGAATGCCAAAAAGCACGGAACCCAGGTCCAAGGCTTCCAGTCGATTGCCTCTAACCATCTAATAGCAAAACCAGAGGGTGCTAGACAGCTGTTTCGTTCAAGTTTTTGCTTACTCTTCAGCGATACGTACCCACAACACCATCCAGGATTGAACCCGCAAGGCACTGAGAGTAAGTGTTGGGAGGAGTTCTCTCCAGGAACACCTGATCGAATCTGGATACCAAGATAACCCACAAACCAACGTCAAAATCATCTACGAAATGTGCGGGAATCTTTAAACCTCAGAAGCGATGGCGATGTTCTCGATCCCGAATTCTGTATACAGAAGTTTATTCAGGCACTGAATCCAATTAACACAGGATAGACCCCCGTTAAATTTCTATATCTTATTACTACTGTTGTTAACGTGACCCTTGTACACTTAAATTGTGTCACTTGTTCTATTTTAGTGTCTGCCCGATTAACACCTTTTTATATTACGTGATACGTTATCCAAAAAAATAAGATTGGAAGGAGGATTTCATCATGAGCTGACATCAGTTAGAGAACCATTGGAAAACCTGCCAGAGAGTACTGGACAGCTCTTTCGTCCTAGTTTGGGACTCTTCGCAGTATGCACCCGTCGTGGTTAGGACCCAGGACCTTCTGCTTACTAGGTGAGCCCGTAGATCATTGAGCCACTGGGACCCGATCCAATGGCCAGTCCATGAATTCTAACTTCTACCAATTGAAGACATAACGCGATCACTTCGCAATGTCTTCTTCGATGGGTTACTGCCTCATCTTCAACCTGCTGTACCCTACTGGTCACGGCTTCCCACTAGAACCCCAGGTTAACTGCCTGAATAGGGCCAGTCACTAGTGAGCATCAGATTAATTTTCAAGTATTGCTTGTTGTAGGGATTAAGTTTTGATTAGATAGAGGATTACATCATGAGCTGAGCTGGGTTCGAGTGTACGTACTGTGGGTACGTACTGACGAAGAGTCCAAAACTTGGACGAAACAGCTGTCCAGTACTCCCTGGCAGGTTTTCCAGTGATTCTCTAACTGATGTCAGCTCATGATGAAATCCTCTATGCAATCAAAAGAAAATCCCTACAAAACCAATACTTGAAAAAGAAGATTTACAATAGTAATGATACACGTTTGGAGATAGTGCTTTCGTTGCTAAGAAAGATCGTAAATACATTTACAGCTGTACAGGCTGAGAATGAGATATCGGCTAAAAGATTAACGCCTCTCTGAACGTCTTTTCTTTGATATATATGTGACTCAATGGGGAATTTTAAGTCGCTTTCTGAAATTAACAATGAAAACACAATTAGAACCAGTATACAGCTAATTAGTAAATAATTAAATGAATTTCCTACCGACTGTCCATCTCGTTCTGCTTCACTATACTCTGAACTGGAAACTTTTTCATCTAATTGATATGAAAAACCATGAGTATTTTGTAGATAATTACTCGACATTTTATAATTTGGTAAGTCAGATAAATCGAGTGGATCTTTTCTGTCAGTATAGTCATCCTGAAAAAAAATAAAGAATCAAGAAAATGATCTTTTTTGAAAACGATTTAGAAATTTATTCTTGATGAAAGCATGAAATTCTCATTTAAACTCATGTTAATCATTATTTGCTTGACATCACGGGTCAGTCAGTCCCTTGATTGGAATCCAAATAGGAAGCGACAAGTGGGTCGTCTTTGAGAGGGTGATATGGAGGAGATCGTTTGGGTAGGAGGAGATGAGAGGGTTTGGGCAATCGTGGAACCAGTTGAAGAGGATGGCAGAAAATAGAAGAAAGTGGCGATGTGTTGTGTTAAAGCCTTATGTTCCACTCAGAATCCAAGGGAACAATAGTAATAATAATAATATATTATTACTATCATTACTTCCTTGGATTCCTAGAGGAAGATAGGGCTTCAGTGTGCCGGCACATGACTATTTCCGGTTGCTAATTCTCTCTGCTCGGTCATTTTTAATCTTTAATATGCAGCTAGAGAAGTTGGTAGCTGTTGGAAATGTTTTTCGCGACGTGCAGTGCAAGATGCTGACTCACATAGAAGAACTGACTGACTTGACATTAGTGTTCAGAAGATTTACAAACTGATTTCAAAGTGATAAAGGTCTCGTCAAGCTTTCCGATTCTGGTTTTCACATTGTCATCCATCCCTACTGCCTGTAGTTCAAGAGATTCTACCTGGTTGGATAAGTGAAGGAAGTGACCTATTTCAAATTTGTTCTGTGTGACAGTTGTGTTTGTGTTTGTTGCTGTTGGTTGGTTGTCTTCATCACCTCCATCTTTTCTATGTTCACTTGAAGTTCTGTCTTCGTTGGCTCCTTCTTCTACCAGTTTGCTAGTTTTTACCCGTAAATCTTCGACTTTGTGTAGCAGTAGACATAAATCTTCCGCCAAGTTCAGATTTTCATTAGTCTTCCTATCAGTCCAGCGTATTACAGTTATCTCTCTGCCCACCATCTTCCCCCCCCCCCCACAGTGTAGTCCACCACAATTAGGGATATCATCGTGGTTGATAGTAGGCAGCTTTGTCTTACTTCTGTATTCACTTCAAATGAATTACAAAGTTTTCCTTTGTGGATTTTTTAACATATGGCATTAAACTTGTAGAGGTAAATAATTTCCCAAAATTATCAGACTACAGCATTCTTATTATTCTTATCACTGAATACTGACTTTCTTTGTTGTAGTCGACTAGTCAGCCTGAAGGTTCATGTTCAAGCATTCACACCATCTACCATGCTGTCGTGTTACTATTTCTGTCGTGCTCTCACAATCCCTAACCAATTGAGCAATGATTATCGTACTACGATTCTGACCCCGAAATGTTTCTCATATATTTTGGACGATCAATTTTGGTGTTTTGATTCATCTTTCTTTGATCTAGGTAGAACAAGTACTATATACGAGTTGAACAATAAGAACTTGCGTTTGCACACATTGTACTTTATGTGTAAATGTTAAAATCCCTTCACTTCTTAAAAACTAGAGATCTAGCTGAAGTTGCATACAGCTTAACAACCGTAAAAGCAGAACATTGTCATCTCGGTCTCAGTGTCTCTTCACTATTAGAATCGGTTTGTATTATCATTCTTAGGGATAATGCAGGTATCATGAAATCACACAACCGGTTGTACTTCCTAAACCGAAAAACGAAGTAACTAGACTAGCTGACCACCCTTGCTCATGTGCAGGCAGTTATGCTGACTGTTAATTGCTCTGGGAACATAATTATTGGTACGCTGGAATGCCTACCATTGTGGTTAAACAAAAGTTTTTTTTGTTAAGACCATCAACAGTTCTATATTGGACCACCTCGTGCAAACAGATCACAAAGCTAACAATAATGAAGCGTGTTTCTCAGTTATCTATTGCTTATGGAATAAATTATAAAAGGGCATATAGAAGTCAAAAACTCCAGACAACAAAGGCCATAACAGTTCGCTTAAATCAACGCGAGTTCTACTTGCAGAAGAAACAGTTCCATCCAATATTGCTAACCTATCCTGCATTCGAGTCAAGGAATTCATAAGTTCTGTGTGTCGCTTCCCTTAATTTATCTGACATTCAATCAGTTTAGTGTTCTATTAATGCACATTATCTATCTGTTTCTTACTTAACTGATAGTTTAGTAAACTGTAACCACCTGTCGATGCTATTGATTGATTCTATGCAATTTAAAAGAGCATTGATGTTGTTCATAATAGTAGTATTTCTCCAGTTATTACTGGGATATAAATATAGAACCCGCCTCCCCCGACGGGCATTGCTAGCTGATATAGGTGCAGGTTGGAAAAGAGCCAGTGGTGGCCAAACAAAAACATGGCCTCATCAATCCATGAAATCCTTGACAGTTAAACTGAGTCAGGTAGGGAGATGCAGACTTCCGGGTTGGGGCCCTCGGGACTCTAAGAATCAATGGCTGGAGACAATAGGTGACATGGCTCAAAATCGTTGTCAATGGCCAGCGCAGATGTATTCAGTCTCTGTAATCTTTCATATTCCTTTCTACCATTACCCATTCTGTTTCACTCTTATACTTGTCAGACTGTATTGGTTCTCTTCACTCATCTTCTTGTCTACCTCTGTGTGCTATTTGGAACGTGGGAACTCGAACTGCTGCACTTCGGTGCCAAGTTCTATGTTGAATCCAGACAGACAGAGACATAGAACCTGATGGTTAATTTATCTTTACGAGTTCATCACGGATTGATTGATTGATATCAGTTAGAAAACTATTGAAAACCAGTCACAGGGAGTACTGGACAGCTGTTTCATCCTCCTAGTTTGGAAGTCATCGGCAGTACGCACCACCGTCAGGGACTTACAAGATAAGCTCGTATACCATTCACAGCCACTGGGACCCGACTCCTCAATGACCGCCAGTTAGCGCATGAATTCTAACTTCTACCAATTCGTGATGAGTTTAGCGCGATCACCCCAACCAGTGTCATCAGTGGGACACACATCCTCACACTTGGCTGGATGGACCTCATTGATCACCACTTTCACTAGAACTACATGAAACTCCGTACTGCCTGCGTACTGTCGATGATTATCGAACTAGGATGAAACAATTGTCCAGTACTACCTGAGCTAGTTTTCAATGGTTCTCTAACTGATATCAGCCCGTGATCAATTCGTAAAAACAAATCTAATCCTTACAAAACAAGCTTTTGAAAAGAATATTCTTAGTTTATTGATCAGTCTTTCAAATTCCTAATAGGCATCTTCAATGAATTGAAACCCCCTATTGTAGAAAAGTTGTACAAGGTGATGTCGCACTTGTAAAAAGGCTAGAACCTAGCTGATTAAAAGGATTACTAAGTAAATATCAAAGCTTTCGCTTCGTATTTTAGCTCAACTGCAATCGATTGAATGTACCATATTTATGTATTCTACGTAAATTCTAACTTCTACCAATTTGGAAATTTTAGTGTGAGAGCCAACCAGCCAGTTTTATCGGTGGCGAGTATTTGTCCTCACTCCAGACTGAGCCTACCTCGCTAGTCAAGACTTCTCACTAGAACTACAGGAAAACAACTTCATCCTGTAGCCAGTTACTAAAAAGTACCAAATTAATTTTCAAGAGTTAGTTTGTATGAATTTGATTTGGCTCAAATTTAACCACGGAATGATATCAGTTAGGTAACCATTGAAAACCAACTATAAGTGCTGGATGGCTGTTTCGACCTGGTTTGGGATTCACTGTCAACGCCCATCCACCAGGGTTCGAGCCCAGGATCTTCCGGATACAAGGTGAGAGTAATGCCGACGATTACAAAGATAAGACAGACGAAACAGCCGCTCAGTATTCACTAGTTTCCAGTGGTTCCCCAACTGACATCAATCCGTGGTCAAACTTGAAACAAAGAATATTTACTAATTTTCTGAAAAGTGAAGCGCCACCTCGGCGTAGTTAGAAATAATTCAGTTTTTTTAAGAACAACAAAGGTTTCTATGATTAGGTGACTTATTGTCTCAAGAACTTCACCCAAACAAAAATAAAAACCTAGGCAAAAAGATGTTTACTTTATAAAAACCGGAGTATAAATACTTAGATACTTGGAGGCAGTCAACCACAGGAAGCCTTACTTGACCTAGTTTTCGTGCTAGTCAGCATTCACCAGTCAGTCAGCAAGGCGTATCTGCAACTGCCTTGAAGGAACTCATTTCCCTCCTGAGATTCTAACCCGCACCACCCAGTGAGCGCTGCAGTCAAAGACGTTAACACTGCGTTTGCTATTCGGCCTAGCGATTGACCTCCTGTCGATTGCCTCCAGTTATCTAATATCATCAAATCAATGTGCACCGTGATGGCGAGCTACCTAGGAAGGTGGCCAGATTACAAACCTGACTGATAGAATTCAGTCTGCAGACTAAACATATCGCACTAGTTACTAGTGTGTCCAATCAAAGTATAAATACTTGAAAATAATATGGACATGAATCGATAAAACATTAGCCACACAATTACTCACTTGATTGCCTAACCAACGTTCACATATTTCAGCTGAATGATTCAATGGTTTAGTGTACTTATCCTTTCGACTGCCAACATAGTAAGGAGATTCAAAACTGTGTAGTGTATTTCTTGGCCATGATTCAATAGCATTCAATTTATTCTGATCAGGCAATCTATTGTCTTTATAAATATTGTAGACATTAAGAAATATTAAATAATAATAATTATTATTATTATGAAGAGAGGTGAAACGATATTCAAAATATGCAGTTAAATGCGTTATTTAAAACAACGATAATAATAAAAATTTGTGAAAACAAAACACGTAGTTCAGCGAAGAGTCTCTTTTTGGTGGGCTGCGAATTCATTTTCTTAGCTGTACAACCACAAATATATATATACATATGGGTTGTACTTATTGACAAAAAATATCAAACCAAGAATTTGGAGGAATGAAACTTCACTTTCACTGAAAAAGAAGCTCTACATGAACTTGGATTTCAAGGAAGATTTAGTAAGCGATATTCTCAAGAGAAGGATCATGTCATCAATGAGAAGAGCATATTTTTGCAGCAACGCTAAGAATAGGGTTCTCCAGTCGCCTACTGATCGGCAGAAGCCCTAAGGACAAGATCACGCATCTGACCGCTTCTATGTGCATATATCAGTTCACCTGCTGGTGTGGAGCCAACCAGGTACATCGGTCATTCGACTCACATCCTCTCCAAGGGGACTCAAGAACACTATCCAGCATGGTTACGAAAAAAGCAATAGTGGGGCTATAGTGAGTGCGATAATCGAACACCTGGTTAACACTTATCATTCCATCTCAACAAACGACTCCTGCTTCAAAGTAATTTACAGAGTCAAGAATAACCTATCAAAGGTAATACAATTTCGTCTTCTTTGTGTCGCTGAAGCTCTAGTAATTCACATAGAAAAACCGGAGCCGTGCCTACAAAAGAGAATTACTCAACCACTTCTACTCTCATGATGTTGATTTTCGACGACTAAATTTTGTTTGTTTGACTGTTTCTTTAATTGCTTACAATTCTTGTATTCATTTAGAACTCTTATGTAATTTCGTATTCTCTACTTTGTTCCTATGTGTATCCTGAGTACAATTCAATCATCGAACTATCCATATTATTACGCAACTCCTTTTCAACAACTGATTGTGACAACTCATCACCTGTGTTACTTACTACACTAGAGTTACATTAACACTCAATTTTCTTGACCATTTTTGTATTACGTAACTCTACTCAGAACTTACTAATTTTCACCCCCCTCCCGTCCTTTAGTTAAAATAACCATCCCTAACTGTCTTTTTGTTTGACATACTTAATGTACACATGTATACAAAATAACACATGCATATATTTGCGATTGTACAGCTAAGAAAATGAATTCGCCGCTCGCCGAAAAGAGACTCTTCGCTGATCTACATGTTTTGTTTTAATATGCCTGAATGGGAATTATTCATGAAATAATAATTTGTATCAGATATTTGTAGCTGAGAAGAATAATTTTGATGGAGTTGTGTTCTTTGAGCTAGTTGATTTAGTTTTGAACGTTTCGTTGTCCTCCTAGACAGTATCTCCAGTGCAAGCTTCAATAAAAAGTGAAATTGTTCGAATTCTCCATGAATCACATAATTATATCTCTTGGCAGCCTTTTTAGTTGTCACTTGTTGGTAACTTACATTATACTGATCATTTTTATAGACCTGGAATTTGAATTTTCTTGTCATGTGATTCATTTTTTATAAGTTCGTAAATTTGATCTATAGCAATGTGTGTTTGTTACTGGCTGGTTATTTATCTGAGTACCAGGCTTCCAGAAATTCCCTGATTGAATTTTTGGTGCTTCATCTGTTTAAAATGTTTACATTATGCCAATCATAAAAAACTGGTGTCTGTGATTGTCTACTTAGAGCGATATGAAAGAATATACGTCCTGTCTTTTCACAGCTAGCTCGTGATTTTAGATTCTGATTCAAAGCGGACGCCCATTTTGACCGATCCAGTTTTTTATCGCACTTTATGCAATTCATTTTGTTGGTGGTATTGAACTTATCTTCGTTTGATGTTGGATCCTTTGGTTTGCATACTACTGGGTGAATTCATTATATTGGTTTGTGTGCTATATCTGTTTCAAAGAGTTTCGGTATTCTAGCCGTCATTTCAGAGATATTCAAGCATTGGTTTGTTGGGCTTTGATTGATTACAGGTTACGGGATTTCACCATGAACTGACATTGGTTAGGAAATCATTGGAAAACCTGAGAACACTGGATGACTGTTTCGTCCTAATTTTGGACTTTTCATCAGTACGCACACACCTCCACGGTTCGAACCCAGGATCTTCTGGTTACAAGGCGAGCTCGCAGACCATTAAGCGACTGGCACTAGCCCGATCCAACGGTCAGCCCACGAATTCCAACTTCTGCCAATTGACGACATAGCGCAACCGCTAGCCAGCGTCTTCGGCGAGTATTTGTCCTCACACCCGACCTGCTGCACACTACTGGTCACGACTACCCACCAGAACCCCAGGTAACTACCCACCTGAATAGGGTCAGTCATCAGTGAGCATCTCATTGGTATTCAAGCATTGGTTTGTAGGGATTTGATTGGTTGGTTACAGGTGGGTGCGTACTGATGAAGAGTCCCAGACCCGGACGAAACAACTGTCCAGTATTCTCATGTTTTCCAATGGTTTTATAGCCAATGTCAGTTCATGATGAAATTCTGTAACCAATTTCAAAGATATTCTGTCTATATATGACCGAATGAATTTTCTTGTGGTCTTTGGAGAGGTTTCCTTCTTGGTACTTCTATTCGAGATTCAACATTTTTTGATGAAATTGTATGGGCGTTCATTTTTCTTGGAGACAGTTAGTAGATACTTCTATAGTAGATATTAGTACATATTTCATATCCGTGCATGTAAACAATTACGGACACCAGGTTTGATCAGAAGAATCTAGAAATACAGATTGTGACATGAAGCGCCCAAAATTTGAAATCAATACTTTCAGCTAATGGCTGTATCAGAGGTAGAAGAGTTTATTATTCCTCGAATCAGGATTTAGTTTACGCTTTGGACATGGTGTAACCTCATTGGACAGTGTTGTTTAACCTTGAGCCGATCACTAACCAATCAAAAGAGTTTATTTTCCTCTGACTTAACTGAACTTTACTGTAGCTAAGAATGTACGAATACAATGTGTTTTTCTTCAATAAAAAGGGTCCGTTACCAATTCTCTTATCTTCTGCCGTTACAATATCAGTTGACTTTCATAACGAATCTATACCAGCTAGTCTTAATTATAGACTTCAAAAAAGGCCTATTCTTAACCTTACGTGGAAAGGAGTATAGAACTATCCGGTCGTAATAGAAAATCGGGAGGTTGACATTTCAAAAAGAAAAATAATAACACCTTAAGAATTAGCTGGTTTCACACAATTCGTCTAACTGTATACTGGTCTAGCTAGTATAAGTCATTTACTTCTAAATATATACCCCTAAAATTCATTGAAATGTGAAGCAATATTTACTGACTACAATAAACAGTGATTGCTTTGCATGGCGAATCCCTCTAGACTATGAAAGATGCCAATCATTGGATCTCAGCAGAACATTTGAGTGCTGACATACTTGCATCAAGTCCATGGCGTGGCATTTATACATTTGCACTGATGAATAAGCCTAAAGTAATGCGTAACAGTGCATCCTTACTTCCTAATTTATAATGGTTATTTAGCTAGGGCACAAATAACTTATATGATAATAACTGCAGTTATGTCAAGATGAAAATTTCACATACTAGTGTAACAACAAAAGACAAGAGAATTCGGCAACAGATTTATATATTACGAAATCAATACACAGAAATAGGTGAAATATGTCTATCATGTATTAGAATCACAATTTTTGTACATATCTTCGGTAATGTGCTTTCTTCAAGTATTGGTTTTGTAGTGATTTTGTTTGATTGGTTGGAGGATTTCATCAAACAAAATTCCCTACAAAAGCACTACTTGAATATCAATAAGATGTTTACTAGCGACTGATCCTGTTCAGTTAGGTACCTGGCTTCTACTGGGAGGTCGTGACCAGTAGAGTACAGCAGGTCAAAAGTGAGACAGTAACACATCAAAGAAGACATTGAGAAGTGGTTGCGCTATGTCATCAATTGGAAGAAGTTAGAATTCATGGAGTGGTCATTGAATCGGGTCCCAGTGGCTCAATGGTCTACGAGATCGCTAGCCTTGTAACCAGAAAACCCTGGTGGTGGGTGCATACTGATGAAGGGTCCTAAACTAGGATGGTCGAAAGGGCAGTCCAATGCTCCCAGGTTTCCCAATGGTTCTCTAACCGATGTCAGCTACTGATTAAATTATGTAACCAATGTGCTTCTTTGCCTTCTTTTCATGATTTCCATGTTTTTTTACAAACATCGTTCATTAAATCCATCTCTCGGCTATTCAATATTCTTGTAGATAAAATACTTATTTATATCCGGATCTATGCACTACTTATTAGTCTTGTCAGTAGCAAGTGCCACACTATTATGCGTCTATTAATCTTCAGTTGATAACAGTAAATTACATTTATTCGTTAAATTTATTCCTAGCTATACTTTACATAATTAATAATTATATGCTATCAATGATTAATAAACTGAGCAAAGATAAAAGCTATCGCAAGGTGTTTTCGCGCATAGTATAGCAAACGTCCCAGCAGATATTCTAGCTGCGTAAAAATAAAAATGTTGATGGAACACCTATAGAACAGCTAAACGCAATATCTGATATGACTGTTACAGCATTCCTCTAGGCCCCCCATAATACAAAATCAGCTATCTACATTAGGAAATTCAAGTTTGAAATAGCCGCCTTCGTTCTTCGCAACATTAGCACACTGAAGCGAAAGAGAGGCAAGTTTGATTTGTGATAGGTTATTATTGTCACCCTAATAATTAATGTCACACGAAATTAAATATAAACAAAAGAAAATAATACAGAACTGTTAAATGTTCAACAAATGTGGAATTAACATGGATAAAATTCATTGTATAAAATAAAAAGCTATTCAACTCACATTTGGTAACATCTAACAAAAATTGGACATTTTTATGTAGTTGTGTTCTCTGAGCTGACTGAATGGTTTATTTGCTAAGCTTTCATTACCCCCTACTAGACAACGTCTTCAGTGCATACTTCAAGTTGTTGAAGTGGGCTGTTTAGATTTCTCCACGAGTTTATCAGTCATCTCTCCTGGTGGGATACCTTGAACCTCCTCATTGGTTGTTTTTGTTTGTGCTTTTTCACATCCTCTAGTCTACTTTTGGTGGGTGTTGGTACTGATTGTATCCTTGATCTTAAGTTTTACACTTCGTATCCCAGGTTTCTTTCTTAAAGATTGGTGAATTTTGTCTATGTCAATATGTCTATTGATTGAGGATTCACCGGAATACTAGGCTGGCCTGTTAAAAATTCTCTAGCATTCTTGGTGTTTCCTCTGTCTATATTATTTGAACATTGTCCCAGTCGAAATGATGTCCACGGTTGTCTGTATGTAGTGATATGAGGGAGTGGATGTCATATCTTCTGACGGCCAGCCTATGATCATGGGTACGAAGACGAACGAACGTCCAATTTGGCCAATGTAGTGTTTTCAAAGTTGTTACAATTTATTTTGTAGATGGTGTTGGTTTTATCTTCTTTCGTTGTTGAGTCTTTTGGTTGATATAGAACTGAGTGAAGTGATTTTGTTGGTTTGTGTGCAACGTCAATTCCTCAAGGTTTGAAGAGTCTTGCAGTGATTTCTGAGATGTCCTTTATATATAGTAGGGTGATGTTTCTGTGCTTACGACTAGGACAACGTTCAAATATTATAGACAGAGGAAACACCAAGAATGCTAGAGAATTTTCAGAAGCCAACCTGTTATTCAAGTGAATCGTCAATCAATAGACATATTGACATAGACAAAATTTACCAATATTTAAGAAAGAAATCTCATATACAAAGTGTCAAACTTCAGGTCAAGAAAACAATCAGTACCAACACCCACCAAAAGTAGACTAGAGGATGTGAAAAAGCACAAACAAAAACAACCAATCAGGAAGTTCAAGTTCACCAGGAGAGAGGACTAATAAACTCGTGGAGAAATCTAAACAGCCCACTTCAACAACTTGAAGTATGCATGCTGAAGCGATGTTGTCTATTAGGACGAACAATGGAAGCTTCGCAAATAAACCGCTATCCACCAGCTCAGAGAACACAACACAACTACTGTGGTAAGAGCAGGCCGTGAGAAAATATGTACAAGGCTGATTCAACAACCAATCACAGCAGACTTAACGTGGCAAAATATGATTCGCAGATAGAGAACTCTATTTTTCGAGGAATCCCGAAACAACCAATCAGAAGCCTGCGTTTGTCTGCTTAACTTCTGATAAACAACCAATCAGATGACCGCGCTTGTCTACTTGCATAAGCTACAATAATGTATGTGAAATATATATAAATACGTGTTGATTTTCATAATAAAACGATCTGCTGCCTGGCCCTTGTCTTCTGTTGTTACACTACTACATCAAAATCATCCACCTGAGCTACAAATCTTCTTCCTCATCAAATCTAACAAATTTGAAAATCTACAGTGAAACACTAACATTCACAACTGAAAGGAGAAACAAGCAGAGTTACACACACACATACACAGAGAGAAATATACACACACACGCACACTAAACTAGTGAACACTATCAACCTATATAATACTTACGATATCCTTGTGTCTGGTGTAGCATTAAAGCTAAAATATTTGTATACTCACTACTTTGATAAGTTGATTGTACAATACGATGATGCTGTTGATGATGATGATTCGTATGTTGTATATTAAAGTTAATCATATTCTCTGATTTATCCAATTGATAATTTCCAGTGAAATTCTTTTGTTTCATTTCAGTTAAGGCTAGAAGAGGATCTTGCGTAGAATTTTGTTCTTTTATATCGTGTTCATTGAAAATTGATTTTTTATTTTCATATTCTTTGTTTAAATTAGTCAGTGTTTCATTGAAAACAGCCATAGTCTCCATATTCAATGCACAAACACCACGCATTAAGGCGGTTTTCAATGCCGCTTGTTCACTGGCCTGTTTAGCTTTCACTGAGTCTAATTCACCTTGACTTATTTTCAATTCAGCCTCCAACTACATATGTGGTTATTTAAACAACAACCAAAAAAAATAAAATAAGAATACCAAAAAAAAAAGAAAATTTAAACTGTTATGGTTTATGAGATTATGCAAATTGATTATAACAAAAGTATGGATTGATAATCTACATATATTTCTAGTTGGAATGACTTTTTGTGTAGAAAGAACAAAAGCTATATATTTAATCTTCATCAGGATTCACCTATTGGGGTTCAAAACCCAGAAGGACCTTCCGGTTACAAGATGAGCTGATGGAGCATTTAGCCACTGGGAGCCGATCTAATGGCCTATAAATTCTAAATCGCACTTAATCAGTTGAAGATCAGTGTCTGTAAGTACTGTCCAAGTGCAAAGTACTGTTACAAGATTTCTGGCAGGAGCCTGTACCTGCACTCACTCTTGCGCTTGAAGTTGTTGATAAGTTTGTGTATTTGGGTAGTTGTGTGAGTGCTGGTGGAGGGGTGACGGATAAGATTTCCAACCGTATCATGAAGGCTGGGGTGGCATACTGCAACTTGAGGCACCTATGGCGCCGTCGCGATGTTAGCCTGGCTGTCAAAGGTCGGGTGTATAATGCTTCGGTGCGGACTGTCTTGCTCTACGCCTGTGAAACCTGGCCTCTCCGAGCTGAGGATTTGTGGAGGCTCCGCGTGTTCAGTCATCGCTGTCTCTGCAGGATTGCTTGCGTCCGATGGCATCATTCTGAGATTCGACGGCGTGTGTTTGAACACAGCGGAGATCACCAATCATTGAGTGTCGTCATCTGGAAACACCGGCTCCTGTGGCTTGGACATGTGCTGCGAATGTCATCCCAGAGGCTTCCTTACAGGTCTGTGTTCGCTAGCCGTGTGACAGGATGGAAAAGGCGGAAAGGTGGTCAGTCCACTACTTGATGGCGTGGGATGAAGGAGATTTGTGATAGATTAGCATCGGTTGGTGCGTCACGACTCGCTGGTTGGAGTCCAGGAGATATCTCAAATCTATGGCTCGAAACGTTATCGGATATGGCCAAGAACTGTTATCAATGGCGAACGTGCAATGGCAATTTCCTTCTCTCTTCCCTTCCCGATGATAGTTCACGAATACTGTTTGAACTTGTTAAGTATGGCTTTTTCCTTGCTGATGAAGTTTTTTTCCGTTCTCCACCCATATTTTTACTTTTAATCTATGTTGTTTTATTATTATTGTGTGGAGCATCTTCTCGGTGCCATATTGTACCAAGGTTTTCTGCGTTTAAATAAATACATAAATAAATGATATGTTCTCTCTTACCTGACTTGACCATAATTAACGGGATCTATGAAGTCAGTGAAGAGATCACTTGCTCACTTGTGACATTTGCTAGAGGTTACTCTATGCATACACATATATAAATAAAAGAGGTTACAGTTCCTAGGCCACTAAATGATCTACGAGCTCACCATGTAACCGGAACGTCTAGGGATTAAGCGCCGGTGGTTACGTACTGGACAAGACGGCTATCCAGTAGGCTTTCGTTTTCCAGTGGTCCTCTAACTGATATCAAATCTGTAACCAATGGAATCCTTGAAAACCAACATTTAGTAATGTCTTTTTCTGTGTACTCTGCAGTGAGCACATTCACACATATATATATATATGCTGAAAGCCGAAAACATCCCTTCAAGTTAACTTTACAACAGAATTTGTAAGCAAAAATAAATGTACAATTAACTGACGGATGGATCAGCGTAGAACTTTTCACTAAAGTTCATTAATTAGTTCAGTAAACCTTTTTGTTTACAACGAAATGTAAGAACCGCCAAATGTAAAAGATGAATTCAGGTTATTGTAAAGAAATCAATTATACGTAGTAAGATGCAAAATGAGTACTACACTAAAAGTGAAGTGAAATTAATTTTCAGTTCATTTCTAGATCATTTATATGATTTACTAGAGTAATAAACTAACAGAAGAACTGACAATAGGCAATGCAACACTGAAGAAAAAAAAGTACACTAACCTAGCAAATGTTCTGCTCTAGTTTAATGCATTTTTAGACAATTACATGACTTTCTATAGTTTGGTTTGTAAGGATTAGTTATGTTTTACGAGTTGATCACGGATTGACATCAGTTAGAGAACCATTGAAAACCAGGGAGTACTGGACAGCTGCTGTTTCATCCTAGTTTGGGAATCATCGGCAGTACGCACCCACTGGGTTTCGAACCCAGGACCTTCCGGTTACAAGGCAAGCTCGTATACCATTCAGCCACTGGGACCCGATGCAATGGTAGAAGTTAGAATTCACGAGCCATTGCATCGGGTCCCAGTGGCTGAATGGTATACGAGCTTGCCTTGTAACCGGAAGGTCCTGGGTTCGAAACCCAGTGGGTGCGCACTGCCGATGATTCCCAAACTAGGATGAAACAGCAGCTGTCCAGTACTCCCTGGTTTTCAATGGTTCTCTAACTGATATCAATCCGTGATCAACTCGTAAAACAATTACATGAAATCGAATGATCCCTTTTTGACAATCTCGATCAATTTGTGATCTGTTGTAACTACTGCTTAGTATCACCAATGAATGACTGATTTATTTGTGACAGGTTCCTTATCAGCTCAAAAATTGACAGTCTTCTGATACAGAGCCGCAATCTATTCAGTTTACTATATAGGCGGATGAATATCACTCGCTCGACTGAAGACAGCCTAATCAATTAAAAATTACCGTCTTCATATAATCAAACATTTTTTCTAAATATAGATAGTATGAAAAGCGACGGGAGTAACCATGGGTTATTATTATTATTCTCATGAGTTCCGAGTGAAACATAGTGGGCCTCAGCGGCACATTTTCACTTTGTCCTGTTCTTTGAAGTCCTCTCTGTCCAACACCGTGATTCCCTATAAGCTTTCATCTCCTTCTCATCCGCTTCACCTTCAGAACAACGCCCAACTCATCGTTTCCCCTTACTAGGGTACGATGCTATTCGACAGTCTCTTGAATGTGTGTCCGATCAATCTCTAATTTCTCCAACCTATTTGTTGAGCAATCAGCTGTTGACTGGTTCTTCCTCAAAGTTTCTTGTTTCTAATTCTTTCTAGCCAGCCATCTGATTTTCAGAATGAAGCCAGAGACGGTGGCAGCCGTTGATTAAAGTCTGCAGTAGTCTGTTAGGAATGTTTATCGTGATACGCCAAGTCTCTAATGCATACAGAAGAACTGACTTGACGAAATGTCAATATTGCTGTTTATGATGAATGAAGAAGATTTCCAAACAGATTACAGGGTGATGTCGGTCTGACTTGTCTTTCCGACTCTTGATTTTCACATATTTATCCGTGGTGTCACCTGTAGTTGAAACGATGCTGCTTGGTCGGATGAGTGTGAAGGAAGTGACGTCTTTCAAATTTATTGCACTGATAGCCATTGGTGTTTGTTGTTATCGTGGTTGTTTGTCGGATATGTTCACCACCTCCGTTTTCCCTATGTTCATTTGAAGTCTTGTCCTCGCCAACTGCTTCTTCTGACAACTTTTTGGTTTCCGCCTGTAGACCTAAGAGTTTGTATGACATTAGACAAAAATCGTTCGCGAAGTTTAGATTTTATCTACCTAACGTATTTCTGTCCTCCAGTTCCCTATGTATGGTCTGGTCTATGGTCCAGTGTACCACAAAGAGTAGCCTGTACTTATTTATAATAGTAGATGGAAAAAAATATGATATCACGTGACCTTTGCATATCGATCAATAATTAAATAATGACAGGAAGACATATAACATTTGCATGAGAAGTTTACTACGGAAATGTACAAATCAAACAACTATTGAATGTAACATTATGAGACAAACAATGTTTTATTTACTGGAGATATGGAATAATGATAATATCCATACCAATAATTTGCATAAATTAAACACAAGTGTAGAGAATATTTCCTTTTCACCAGTGACAGACGATACAAAAATGTATCGAAACAACGATTACTGAAAATAAAGTCTACCCCCTATCATTGATAACAATGAAATCAAAATCGCAAACAACACCCAGTCAATCCATTCAATACATCAGTGAAATCAATAATGTTTAGTAATGGAGCGAACACCAAAAATAGCCACCATAGTGTGCGAATGCATGAGTGACTCCGAGACGACCAATAAGTTGAAGCCATGATTTTCATATGAAAAATCTGTTTATTTATGAGGAAAATACACATAATAAGATATATTAAAGATGATATTTTATCATGATGTAATTCAAAAATACTTCCTGACTACAATGGTGGGTATCAGTTTTTAATCTTTCAAAAGGGTTTCACTTTTATGGACAATGACATCCTTTACTCGCGTTTATTTCTTCAGCGATTTCTAAAAGAATATTTCGTCTGACTTTTTACATTAAGAAGTTAAGGCACTCAGGCATAACTCAACACCTCTTCTCCTCTTACAGTTTGTCAACTCGTGCATCTTACCTATTCTTCTTTACTGTTCACCCTTATTCTTTCCTGGATTGCTTAAAAAACACTATGTCAAACTTCGTAGAACTCTGAAGATTGTCTGTCAGTAGAGCTAGTGGTATCTCATTCGGCCAAATCGTTGACATTGTCATTGATAGGCCCTTGATGTCATGCAACAGATTTGTTAAAGGAATTTTGTCAGACTGTGAGCATTCAATTTACCCGCAGCTGCAACCTTGGGTCTCTTCAGGTAAAACAAGAAGTCTTTTCAGAAGAATTTACGCACGTACGTCTAAGTATAAAAATCCCACTATACCATATTTGACGGCATGTAATTTATGTGATGAAACTGGTGTCAGGCATGAACTAACTAACCTTCTTTGCACTATTAAATAAACCATTTGTTCCACCCTTACACCATCAAACTTTATTGTTATTGTTCCTCTTATATATACAATACTCTCAATTTTTAGTTTTTGTTTATTTTTTTATAAGTGTGAACATCGTTTAAGCTGTGTTACCACTGTTAATCTTGTATTTCCCCTCATTATACTATATCAACAGAACATTAGATTCAATACTCTATAGTAACATGCTAAAATTTCCAAACTGAATCGACAATACTGTTTGAAACAAACTCACTGTTATTATTATTATTATTATTATTTTTAATGATCTCAATTCATGCTTCAAATATTTTTGACTTTATATCGTAAACGTGGACAAATTCCTCTGGTTAATTTTGTTTCAATTTTTAATTTTATTTATATTTTTTAAATAAATCAGATGCAATATTGTGACAAATGCTGAGAATTCCATTCTGTATTATAAGTACTGTCTGTTTTGGAATAAAGTAGATTATTATTATTTTAAAGAGGAAAATACAGATAAGAATGATAAATCTTCATTTAACCCCAACACTAAGGTGTTATCAACCCGCTGTTCAAACTGTACTTAAAAACAAAATGAGGATGAAATTTGCACATGGATTCGTGCATTATTATTATTGTTCCCTTGGGTTCCTAGTGGAACATACGGCTTCAACTGCACGTCTCCACTTGCCACTTCTGTCTTCTGCTTTACTTTTTACCTGCATCTATGTTAGTCCATAGTGTTTCAACTCCTCTTCACACAATCTCCTCCATGTCACCTTTGCACTGACGACCGACTAGCCGCTTCCATTTCGGCCTGGTTCTACTCGATCAATGGTCTGACGCGCGCGCGATGTCACCCAGCGGCCTCTTCAGCGAGTGTCCAATCCATCTCCACTTTCTCCTGCATATTTGTTGGTTGGAGATTGATTGGTTCTTGTTTTGTTTGTTCCCATAGTTTCCCATAGTTGGTGATTTTTTCCGGCCCGGCCATCTGATCTTCAGTATAGAGCGAAGACAGTTAGTTGTTGATAAAGGTCTGCAATAGCCTGTTGGAAATATTCTTTGTGACCTACCCGCCAAGTTTCTGATCCGTATAGAAGAACTGAATGACTTGACGTTGTTTGTATTGGAAATCCGATGGAATTTTGTTGTTGATGCTGAGTGACGAAGATTCCCAGATTGGTTTCAGTTGGTTGATGAATGTGTTTTTTGCCTTCCCGATTCTCGCTCGATTTGACATCCTCGCCCGTTCCGACTGCGTGTAGTTGAGACAATGCTCCCCAGATAAGTGAATGAAGTGACCTATTTCAAATCCCTCCCGTTGATGGTGATCGGCGTTGGATTTGTGCATGCTGCAGCTGTATTAACAGCAGATTCTGTAATCCAAAGAACGATATACGTTCAAGTTCATTTTTGAATTTACACTCTGTTGTCAATATTCTTTAGGTTGCCTAGTAATTGTAATAATTAGCTTTATGTTATCATTATTAAAATATATATTTTAAAAGGCGTCGTTTATTTAGTCAGTAGTGTCATGCCTTACACTGTTCTCATCACATAAAATGTGTGCCATATAAGGTATATTGCAGAGCTTTTATACTTAGTGATCCGAGCAGAAAGTCTTCTATAGTTGTTTCTAGTTCCTCCCTCCTGATGAGATGCAAGAAGGGTGTTGTGTACACAGGAGATGCTCAGAATCCGATAAGGTAACAATCGCTGATTTGTTGTATGAGTCCATGCGCCTGCATATCTACTACAGCACTAACAATAAGTTGGTTTATCGACATCTCACTCATCATACTAACAGATTTTAGTGTCCTTCGCAGTGTAACAAAGTTTTTCTTAAGAAAACCAAGAAAGATTCATTGTGGGGAAGCAATAAAGAAGATCAGGTAGAATACAAGAATTAACAAATTGTGAAAGTAGGGATTAACTGAGTGATACCAGATTGTCTTAACTTCCTCATTGTAGCAGAATGTCAGAAGAAAGATCTTTTTCGAGACTTACATGATGTAGGAAGACCAGGAAAGATGAGCGGAAATACATAATCCAAGGTACTTAACAGTCAACTTAGTTTCACCTGTAGTAGTATCTATGATAGTGGAACTGTGAGAACTAACCAGTTCATGTAAGTTGCGCTTGAGTCTGAAAATGAAATTAACAAACTAACATTTGGAGAGATTTAGTTTAAGACCATCTGACAAATACCACTGACTGATTTCTAATATAAAGTTATTCATATTGGAACAGTCTGATTAAGAAACAACCGACATAGAAACAATCAGAACACCGGCATACTTAACACAACTGACTTCGTCAGACTGGGGCAAGTCATGTAAGAAGAAACAGACCAAAAAACGAGAAAGAAGAGCACCTTCAGGAAAACCAACTAGAGTAAGGAAATCAGTGGTGGACTTGCCACCATATGCAGAGTAATGTTTCCTATTGGCACAGTGGTAGAGTGCTCACCGACCACGCCTCAGGTGGCCTGGGATTCGATCCACGGCCGACACACTCCTATACGTCGCTAAGCCAGTAGTAGGACTGAGTAAAGAGGAAAGGTTGGGTATGAGGCTAACAACCCCATCCAGAAAAAATAATCACTAGAGCTACAGAAACTTTAAACCTCTAGCTTGAAGGCGCCCTATGTTCCACTAGGAACGTAAAGGAATAAGATATATATATGTGTATACTTTACCTGAAGAATTTTTTCATTGAATTCCTTCTTTATTTTAATACATTCAGATTGAGCTTCAAGAGTTAAACGTCGAAAATTCCTCTGTTTCCATGTACATTCCATGTATTGTTTCCATTCTATAATCGCTTGTTTTAAAATACGCTGTTTATAATAACGATCAGCAAGTTGGATACAGAATTCCTTAGAAAAAACAAAACAAAACGGAAATGATTAATGAACAAAGAAACATTACACAGAAATCATTCATGCATTCTAGTAACATTTAATTCCATTTTAGATTTTCTCGTCGATTGATTGGACCGAAGTGCTCGGACTCAGGTTGACATATCGGCTTCTTGTGTTGATGCTTCGACGGGAAAATGTAAGATTCAATTAAATAATTAATATGACCCATTGCACAAGAGGTGGTAGCTCTTGTGACCCAAGTGGTGTAGTGGATAATGCTTTGACGTTTGAAACTATGGTCACTGGGTTCGAGCCTCAGTGGGGACATAATCATTCATTGTAGGGCGAGCCCCAAACAGGACGAAATGTGCATCCTGGTGGATTCCACTGCTAGTCACCATCCACTAATTAATTATAATAACATGCTTGAACACTTTCAAAGATAGAACACAATTAAGGTGTATAGATTTTAAACGCAAACTCATAATTCTTCAGACTGGGTGTGTATTCGCCCTATAGGAGTATATTTTATAAATAGCTAACAATATGAAGTCTTCTTCTACAAGTCACTGGAGCCATGACTATGAATATTGTAAATTCATACATTTTTCTTACGGTGGAAAGATGGGAAATCTGGAGTGAAGCTAGCAATTCCACCCTATAAAGAAGCCATCGTCAATAAAGAAAGTTCACAGCTCAAGCTTGAAGCCGTATGTTATACTCGTAACTCAAAGAAAGAAAAAGGAAGAAACATTTGGGAGTAACCTACATATACTACAAGAAGCTGATCATTTAGAACCAGTAAAATAAACGAGAAATCACAGAGATAAATAAACAACGATAAATCATTCTTATCTCTCAAGGAATACACTTCTGTTTAAGCCGTGTAGGAAGGTGTAGACTGTGTGGCTGGTAGGGGTCGTCGGGATGGTAAGAACCAATATGAGCTGGAGACAATTGGCAATATGACTCAAAATCTTTCTCAATAGCTGGCACGCGTGCATTCACCCTTTGTGATTTGTCACATCCAATGAGACTCTACTGTTCTTCTCTATTACTATTCTTTTTCTCGCACACTTCTGTTTATTACCTGTCTTTTGAACCTCCCTGTAGTCTGTCCTCTTGCTTTGTGTGCTACATGGAGAGTGGCAACTCGAAATGCTTCACATCTGAAAAAAGCTCCATGTTGAAACCAGTCAGTCAGTCTTCTGTGTCTTAAACGTCAAATGTTGGGTTCGACAACATCACTATTCTAGTGAATTAACGTAGAACAGGACACCTTTTGTGGCATGAATATCACTGTTATTTACACTCACTCCTATAACTTTCCATAGCATATGGAAACTTAACGTGACAATCTATTTTCAGCAATACCTATTTTGAAATAACAGAGAAGATTTGTAACTTGGGTGGATGATTTGCAATTAGTTGTGTTCTTTGAGTTGGTTGGTTTAATCGCGCAGCTTTCGTCGTCCTTCTGGACAACATCTTCATTCAGCGCAAATTTTAACATGAAATGAACTGATTTAAAGTCTCCATGAATGATAGAATTGCGTCTTCTGGTAACCATCTTCGTGACTGGTAGTCGATTTACATCTGTACTGATTAATTTTTATTGATTTACTTTTTATTAGTTGGTAGATTCGGTCTATGATAATAGATGGTTGGAGGAAATCGACAGGAAGCCTTAACTGACCTAGGTTTCGTGCTGGTTGGCACTCATCAGTCAGAAAGGCGTATCTGCAACCTTGTAGGAACTCATTTCCCTTCTGTGATTCGAACCCGTGTCACCCAGTGCTGCAGTCAGAGACGCTACCACTGAGCTATTCGGGCTCGCGATTGACCCTTCTGTAGGACTGGGGTGGATACTTTGATTGGATACTAGTACCTAGTGCGATGTGTCTAATCTTTTCTGTGGTGCAGACTGAATTCTATCACAGTCAGATTTGCAATGTGACCGCCATTCTAGGTAGCTCGCCATCATGGTGAACATTGATTTGTTGATATTAGATGGTTGGAAGCAATCGGCAGGAAGCCTTGCTTGGACCTAGGTTTCGTCTATATTAAAATGTTTGTTAGCCGCATATTTTGGTTAAGTATAATTTAAGTGTAAAACAGGCATATAAATCACTTACTTTTCTTTTAGCATCTTGTTCTTTTAAACTAACTTGCATATTATGCTTCATTCTTTTTATTTCATCAGTTAACTCACTGATCAGTTGATCCTTTTGTGCAATTGTACGTTCATGATTTCTTGCAAGATCTCTTAAACTAATCACTTGTTCATGTAGCTTAATCATATCAGTTTTTATACTGGTTAGAAAAAAAGAAGAGGAAAAACAGGTTGAAAATGAAAATAAGTTTAAGCATTTGAGTAGTATAAATGGATTTAATTAATTTTCAGGTAGAATCATTAAGAACCAAAGGATACTGAACTGTTTTTTATTATTAAGTGAATCGCTGAAAATAATCATGTTTTAGAAGATTAAATCCTTTAAAAAAACAGGAATCATGACTGGATGTGAAGTGGCAATTTGGATTGTAGCAAAGCGTGAAGATAATCGGACAATATTTCGCCTGCTTTACCTACCTAGGAAGCACTGTTTCTGCTACAAGCAGACGGAACTTATGGGGATATCAGTGCAGCGAGGATCGGGAAAGCGAGGCAAGCTTTCATTTCTCTCAAGTCTGTGTCGAAGTCAGCAGATCCGGATTTTCAACTCCAGCATGAAATCAATGCTAATATACGGATCAGAGACTTGGCGATGCGTCACGAAGGACACTTCGAACAAACTTCAGACCTTCATCAACAGCTATCTTCGCTCAGTGCTATTCAAGATCAGATTGGTGGTCAGAAAAGATCATCAACAAGGAGGGACCTCTGGCAAAGAATGAACCAACCTAGCAGGAACCGATTGTGCAACAAACAAGCAGGAAGAAATGGAGGCGGATTGGCCACAGTCTGAGAAAACAAACCACCAAGTGAGTGACATCACACGCCAGGCTAAAGCTCGAGTGGAATGCGAAAAGGAGGCGGTGATTTGGTCGTCAGTTCGAGGGTGACATGAAGGAGGAGGTCATGTGAAGAGGAGATGAAAGCAGGCGAACCAGGTGAAAACGTTGGCAGAGAACCGAAGGTAATGCATACGTGTGACTGAAGCCCTATGTTCCTCTAGCAACTAAAGCAAAGAATAATAATAAAGTCACATCAGCCATCAAAGGTGTGAACAGTTAAGCTAATCAATCCTACTGCTAATCACATAGAAACGATTTAATCGTCAGACGGTAGTTCAACCTGTTTGGCATTGAATCCACCTGTAAGTTGAGGAAGGTGGTTATCTAAATAACAAAAAAAGTATTCAAATCTGTGTCTACCAATTTACATGTACGTGCCAAAGCACATACATTGGAAGAACAGAGAGAAGGGTTAGTGTCCACATCTATGAGCACATAACAAAGAACTTGACACTGAAAGGTCCGCAAGCATTAAACAGTGCGATTCCACGTCATTTATCGGACACTGGTCATATTGTAGACAACCTGAAGTCGTTTAAAATAATCAACAAGCAAAAGAAGCCTAGCTTGCTACGCTTTGCTGAAGCAATTGCTATCAAACGACTTAAACCAAATCTATGTACGCAGAAAGAGACAGTGGTGAATCTCGTACTGCCCTGGTGATAACAAAAAACATACAACTTTCATGAGTCACCCTTTTCCATGTTTAGAAAACTCTACTCTCTCATCTAAATATGACTCACCCTACCTTGTTTCTTTTCTTTCCTTTTTTCTATTACCTATTAGATAAGATGCTTTCTTTAGTTACATAATCTACTTTTTTGTTATGCTCTTTCTAGCTAAACCTTGTTTCTACACACATATATATATATATACACAACCCTGTCTTTTTTGTTTCCAAGCCTTATTGTCTAATTATTCTATGAATAGTCAGTGTTTGTAACTCCTAATCAGTTAAATCATTCCGGACTAATGTTACTTTTAATTCCTACCAATTACTCTTTATGATCGTGGAAAAGTATGTTCAAATCTTTAATGTAATTCATATTTTTTAACGTTCAGGTTGTAACCAGTTGAGAAGAATCCTTGAAATCCGATAAAAGATGAGCTCGTATTATCCTGATACAATTGTTGTTCTTGCTTTGTTCAAGTTTATTTATATCTGCTTATATACTCCAATGAATTGGTTATACAAAGTACGATGCCATTCTATATACTTCGACAATACATTTCAAAAAGGAATTAATAAGTATATCAGTGAATTAAAACAATAAATCCATACATGTTAAAATTGCTTTCATCGATATCAACGTATGATGGCTTATGAGTTTTAAATAAATACACCGCTAAGAATAAAAAAAAAATTAAATTTCAAAGGAGTCTTAGATCAAAGTTGCTTGCTTTTCAGAAATGATTGCAAAGCTATTCGTGACATATCAGGGAGACTCCTGTGTTATTTGTAAGTCTTAACTACCACCAATCAGTACTTTACCATCAATTATGGCAAGATGACAGCTAAATCCGCTCAGAAACAGACGATGTACATAAATTAGATGCTGCCTACAAACTAATTCAGACACCAGTTCCTTACAGTTTGTCAAAGACTGTAAAGTACCCGAAATACCACTAGCAGTTGTATCAACAAATAAGTAATAAAGTCCGTAATAGTTAGAAAATTTTTTTATTTAAGCATGGAGAACTATAAGGTAATTTGATTCCTTAAATGTACATGCCAGGAAATTTTAAAAAAAGCTCCAATTACCGATGCATTTCAACCGAAAAAAGTCCTTTCACTGCTGACATGATTTCTTTTTGAACTGACTGATAATGAACCTGAAAATAATGGGAAAAAAGTTCGCACATATAATAAACGATTACTCTTTTTGTCTTGTCAAGTATAAATATATATTCAGTTAACCTGAACACAAAACACGGATCAATAAAAGACTAAAAGAACTCGGTATATTTGGAAAGAGTATAGGTAACCAAAAGTGACAGCAGCAGCAGTTTACTGTCAGCAGTTACAACAAGGTAAAAAAATGTCGAGAAAGTGTTAAAGGATGATGACAATGTTAATAGTTAAAATCATAAGATAGTTGATATATTATCACAATAAATTACAAACGGGAGAAGATATAACATCCGTTCATTTTGCTAATTACATAGTAAGTTGTAAGCTTCCCGCTTAACACTATCTCTGTCACATAGAACGTGGATGCGCCGGCCAAATCCAGTGTCGTTTGAATCCTGGTGCTTGGTTTTGCGAGCATATAATCCTTCATAATCACTTCTACTACTACCTGATGCGATGTGGGGCGTAAAGAGTTGTGAAGTGAGAGGCCGTCGAAAGTCAGACAATACGAAGATGAGGCAGTAACTCATCGAAGAAGACAATGCGAAGTGGTCGCGCTATGTCGTGAACTGGCAGAAGTTAGAATTCAAGGACCATTGGATCGGGTCCCAGTGGCTCAATGGTCTACGAGCTCGCCTTGTAACCAGAAGGTCCTGGGTTCGAATCCCGGTGGGTGCGTACTGCTGAGGAGTCCCAAACTAGGACGAAACGGCTGTCCAGTACTCCCAGGTTTTCCAGTGGTTCCCTAACTGATGTCAGCTCATGATTAAATCCTCCATGCAATCAAACAAAATCCCTACAAAAACCAATACTTGAAAATACGAATTTAGACCATTTCCAGCATGCATTCAGGTGTCTGTCGAACACAACAGTAGTAACGAGCTGATTAATAGGCAGATTATTTGCCCTACTGACACCTCTCATTACCTTTCGTACTATGAGATAGTTCTTTTTGAGTAACGCAGGAAAGAATAACGGGAGCAATAAGGAACTACAGGTGAGGTATAAGAGTTAACAAGGTTTAGTGATTCCTGATTCTCTAAACTTCTCAATATAGTGGGTTGGACGGAATATTTTCTTAGAAACCGATAAGATATGGGATGATAAGAAATGGTCAGACGATAGAACTAACCCAAGGTATTTTATGCTTGACTTAGTTTCTGTATCAGTGGCCCCTATGCTACAATCATTTTGTGAGTGTACCATTCCGCGTAGATCATGTTAACACACCTGAAGGTGACGTTGACTTTCTGACATTTCGAAGTATTTGTGATGAGACCATTTATCTTAGACCACTGGCTGATGTTTGACAAAAAGCTATTGAGTTTGGAACAGTCAGGTTGGGATGTAACTGACAAGACTGAAACGTGCAAACGTATTTCCACTTTTTCTGGTGACTTGGTTGCCTTGCGGAACAGAGAAGCATATACGGATGAAATATAATTAAAGATACCAACTGAATATTGAATTGAAATTTCACTAAGATCGGATATATTTATGAAATCATCAGGGTTGAAGTATTGAACAGCATATAATTTGTATTTCTAGACCGAAATGCAGCACCACAGCTTTCATTCTTCTATCCGACCAGTTTTATCACTGGGTTTTATTTAACGAATGTGAATATATCAGTTCACTTGTCCTTGTGGAACTAGGTATGTTGGTAGTTCGGCCCGTATCCTGTCTAAAAGGGGTTAAGAACACTATCCAACACGGTTGAAGAAGGAAATTAGTGACTCTATAAGAATTGCTATAATCAAATACCTTGTCAACGCTAGTCATTCCATTCCAACAAACACCGCCTCCTTCAAAGTTATCTATAAAGTGAAGAACAACTTACCAATTGCAATACGCTTTTGTCTTCTGTCTGCATTGTTGAGGCATTAGTACTTGAGTTCAGAGAAACAGGAGCTATGCATACAAAAGGAAACTATTCAACCACTTTTACTATCATGCTATCAATCTTGATTTGGTTTTTTTTGCCAAGTTTATTGTTTTATTTGTTTTTCTAACTCCTTATAACTCTTGTATTTCCTCAGAATTCTTACAGAATCTCATATTTTCTTTCGTTTCTATGTGTATTCTGAATACAATTCATTGATTAAATTATTCATCTGGTTACGTAACTCCGGTACACTTGCTCAAATAATCTTATTCATTGACTACTACTAACAACTATAACCGTCACAACTCATCACTTTTTTCACTAACCTTTTTCACGAAAAAGAGATTGTATACAAATGCGATTGTACAGCTAAATCAAATGAGCTGACATTGGTTACAGAACCATTGGGAAACCTGTGAGTACTGGGCATCTGTTTTGTCCCAGTTTGAGATTATTCACCGGTCGTGACGAGTGCGGTACAGTAGATAATCGCAGCTGATGACAGTGGTCAGTAGTCGCACTATATCGTGAATTGGCAGAAGCTGGAACTCGTGGATCTCAATGGCTTAATGATCTACGAGCCCACCTCGTAACTGGAAAGTCATGGGTTTGAATCCCGGTGGGTGCGTACAGCCGAATTGTCAAAAGAGACTTGGACGAAACAGCTATCCAGTACTCTCAGGTTTTCTAATGGTTCTCTAACCGATGTCAACTGATGATGAAGTCCTGTGACGAATCAAATCCCTGCAAACCAACATTTACAGCATATGAAATCGCCAAAAAGAGCCTCTTAGCTGATCTACACGTTTTTTTATCCTTATTAAACAGATATATATATATATATATATATATATATATGGAGAAAGATATATCAAACAGAACACAAGTATGCTACAGTCGACAAAAACTTACAGTTAAATTTTCTTTTAGTTTCGTAGCAGCTTGATCATAAATTACATTTATATCCTTGAGTTTATTATCCGAGAAAAGATTTTCATGTTTTATTTTATTTAAATCTATAAGATCATTGGAATAATCAAAGATTTCAGTAGAGGATTGATTTGAATGTAAATATGATGAATTCAAGGGATCGGTGGTTCCACTGCCCACGGGTGTTTCATTCTTATGAGGAAATTTATCTTTATCGCTGCTTTCGTATTGTGGGTCTGTACAAAATAAGAATAGACAAAACAAAAGTTAACATTCCCATATTGAAATCTTGTAGATAAATACAAATAACTTCTTAAGCTCCTTCACGACCTGTGTGCCACTTTCGAAATCTGAGAAAGTAGAGTTAGTTTTGTGGATTATTGAGACCACAGACGTATTTCACAATAATTATTCCAAGTTAGTTTTCTCTTACAAATATATTTTGAGGAATAATTTCTGAAGTTTTTTCATTCATTGAAAAGATGTGACTCATATATTGCTTTCATTAACCAAGAAACGTTTACAAAGCTGTAAGGATCATAAAGCCTCCGATATTTCATAGTTTACTCATCTCATAACTCTGAAAATTCGCTGGCATACTAAGTTCGTAAACAATCATCTTTAATAACTGCCCTATAACTCAAATACTGTGATGCGTTTCTGGAGTTTGGCAATGAAACAAATGCCCGTCAAGCAATTTTACAAGCTCTGGCCATTCACATAGAAAAACAGGGTTGTGCATGCAAAAGAGAATTACTCAACCACTTCTACTGTCATGGTAACAAATTTGTTGATTTTTGATGACTAAATTTTGTTTGTTTGACTGTTTCTTTAATTGCTTATAATTCTTGTATTCATTTAGAACTCTTACGTAATTTCGTATTCTCTACTTTATTCTTATGTGTATCCTGAGTACAACTCAATCATCAAACCATTCATATTATTACATGACTTCTTTTATTAACAGCTGTCTGTGACAATTCATCACCTTTGTTACTTACTACACTAGTTTCATTAACACCTAATTTTCTTGACTGATTTCACAATACGTAACTCCAATTACCAATCTTCACTTGTTTAGTTAAAATAACCATAACCAGTTGTATTTTTTTATGACAAACTTAATGTACACATACATACAAAATAACACATATATATTTGCGACTGTACAGCTAAGACAATGAATTCGCCACCGAAAAAGACTTTTCGCTGAACTATGTGTTTTGTTTTCGTCGATGCCTGGGTGGGGATTATCCATGAATTTTACAAGGCTCTCATTATTCAGACATTCACAATCACACTAGACTGTGCAAGAATACATATTCTTGTACGTAAGCTATATTGTTTGTTAAAAAAAAGTGTCAAAGCGTAATGTTTCTGTTAATAAATAATACGGAAGACAAGCATATACATATCAAAGGAAAACCTTACAAAAATTCACAGCACATATTTTAGTTCTCACTTCTAGACCTAAGTAGTCGTTCAAAACGCCCAAACCACTAATGCCGTGTGCGAAAATCTTTAACCATCGAAAACTGTAGAATAAATAACTGACTTGCTCAGAAAAGTAGCACTCTGAATGGAAGTGTGTCAGTCCATGCGACCGCACTTCAATCACTAGTCGAAAACTTCACTGATGGATGCCATATTTTTGTGCGACCACACTAACTCTTTTCCATCTTAATATTATTTGACCTAATATTACTCATCGAAGAAATCTGTGTGCCGGTATGCATAACACGTATCTTAGGCCACTAAATTGGCGGAAATCCACAAACTTATCGAACGAAAAACACATACATAACATTTTGTGTCTAACCTCGTTATCGCTGACCATATTTTACAAAGCAGCATGAGGGAGTGAACAGAGATAATTATGATAGAAAACCGTTAACTTTATTATATTTCCTACTTTCACAGTACTTAGAGAGCATTTAGATAGTGCGCATATCCTTTGGTAGGTATTTGGATACCACGTCCGTAAATGCCAGACAAGCCTTTCGTATATGCGCCGAAAGTTTTTCTGTTAACGGTTTATTAGGACTTCTGCTACTCCCCAAATAAATGTAGTCGTCAATACATTCGGCCGCTTTACCCTCTATCCTGGAAGTAAAATTCGGTGCACTGTCGTCTTACACATGACAGAAACAAGTCTTGTGCAAACTATACTCGAGTTTTTTCTTATGGTGACCAAAAAGCTCAGTATTTCTGCAGTATCTTAGCCGAAGATTACAATATCATCTCCGTATTCTTAATAAACGGGAAATTCGCGATAACTAGCCAATTCGCGTGACGTATGACAGAATTAGACAATGATAGCAGATATTCCATTAAAATTACAGTAAATGACATCACTTTAGACAAAAATCTCCATAAGCTATCACAAAAGCCCATGGGCTGTAGTAAAATGCTTTGATTAGTACAACGAGTTTTTGGAATTTTTTAACAGCAACGGCAGTTCTCGATAGACGGAGTTAAATGATGCCTTCAGCTCAGGACAACAGCATAAGTTAATTATGTTCTACGTGAGCGGTGTTCCCCATCATGTACATTTATTTAAATTCAACTAAACGCAGTCTGCATTTAAATTGTGGTTTATTTAGCAAGCAGTGTACTAATTCATTTGATATATGAAGGCGATGTCGTCAGCAATTAGTAGGATACAAAGGTTTCCTAGCAAAACGGAAAAACATCCAAATTAAAGCTAAATGGAAGATGACAAACAGTTAAAACGAAGAACATGCATGACCTTTATATTCCATCTTAACTTTCATCTAACACACAAGTGCTTGTTTAATACTCATTAAACAAGCGGCAGCTTTGAAAGAGCTGAAAATTAGATATTATATTCTGTGTTCATAAAAGATGGTCAAAACATGAAATGAATAGAATGGTGTTTACGTTACTCACTGTCTCCGTTGCCTGCTGTACAACAGTATTAAAGAAGATAAACACAATAACACTGTTCAAAAAAGGAAGACAAACTAAGCATGCAATGTGCATATATTTTCAACTTTTGGACTCTATCTTTAGGTTCATAATGTCGTACCATCAATACTGAGATGGACAGCAGTCTTGCGGGGAATGTTCTTGAAAAATACAGGAGACATCGTTGAGCTAATAAACATATCCTGTGACAAACAGCGGCAGAAAATGGGATTAGTATTCTCAGTACTAAAATATCATTGTTTTAGGTTTGGAGACGACTTAATGAGTTTATTTACATGTAAATATATCTCTGGATATCTGGTCTCCCCTTAAGGTAGTATTTTTGGTCAGAGTGACTTCAGAAACTTACAAGAAACCTACAAGCTAACGCTGTTCTGTTAAACAACTTTTCTGTTTTCTGTCTTACCCCTCCTCCCTCTTTTCAACTTTAAAAGCGTATAAATTGATGATGACGAAAAAATTGTAATGCTTTCATTTTGGATGCGTCAATTTTATAGTATCTCTTCTCTACTACCACTCAAACATTAAAGTATGTTATAATCATATATATATATATATATATATATATAAACCATTGTAATTTCAGGTAGTCTGCAGCTGATGAGAACCTGTCAAATATAATGATACCATTTTATACTGCGA